CTGAAGGATAAAATTATGTTATAACACACTGTTCCATCCCATCCTATCAGTTGTCACTAATTAATAACTTAAATCAATTAAAAAATTAGATTGAGATAAATCAATCTTTGCAATGTTAAAGGTAATATGATAGGATTCAAGAGAGTTGATTTGAGCAAAAATTACTCTAACCACTTAAACAAACGGTTTCGATTTTGAATCATTTTATACGTATAAAATTTCTTTGATAGTTATGTTTTTTTTTTTATACATCTAACTAAATAACGAGAAATTAGTCTCGGACATGAGATATCCGAGGATTCGAAAAAAAAGATAAGTCATGTTATTGACTAAACTCATATTTGATCATCATTTATTTTGCATGGTTTCACTTGAAGCAAAGATGCTGATTTGTTTGCCTAAGCTTAACATGTTACATAAGGTAGTTATAAAAACCACAATTTGTCTTATGAATTATAACTCAAATGGTGTTACTAATCTTTTCTTTTTCCCTTTAAATGTTTTGATTTCAAATTTCTTTTTTGATAAATATATCAATTTAACGTTATACAACTAAGCAATTTCTAATGAGTTTTTATATTTGTAATCGTGTCTATATTAATATCTTTATACAATGTCTAATTCTCCAATATTTTATTCAATCAAATTTTTTTTACCCAAGTTGATAAATTTATAGTTTTCATTTGAAAATTTCTTTTGAAGAATTATATACAAATAATAGAAAACTTTTTTAAAATTGCTCACAATGTTTTAAAAAAATTCAAGATTACTCAACCATTCAAATTTTAAAAAATAAAGATGTTAATTTGAGGAAAAAAAAATTACATTCTTGTCTAATTTAACGGTAATTTTAGAATGAAAAATATAATTACATCAATTTAGATTAAAAAAAACTTGATAAACTAACATATTAAAAAATTAAATATCGTAAAAAAAACACAATAGAAATGATTAAAAACATAAAAAATAAATTGAAAATTTTGTCAATTATATACAAATAGATCGAACAGTTTTCTAATCACTTGTAGTTAATCACTTGGAACTGAGTTTAATATGTACAAAAACCTTGGTCGATGAAGCAAAACAGTCTAAAACTTGGGATTCAATGGTCAAAAATCGATTTCTTAGGAATTTTCAATATATTCATGTGTTTTGAATTCTATATACATATATGATCTCTTAGGAATTTTCAATATAGTCATATATTTTGAATTTTATATACATATGGCTTCCATTTTTCCCAAAAATCCAAAATCCTTGGCTTAATGCATACGGTCAATTTGTGTCTGTTTGATTAATTAAATTTCCGACTTGAGATGTACAATCATGTCTTGTCATGCATACTATTCTTGGAGACTAGTAGCATTCATCCTTTTATTGACCAACCAGTTCTCACCGATATATATATATGTACGTTGGTCATCCACATTAACCACTACTTAATCGTACTTGGAGGCAACGGTCGATTTAAATTTTTCTGCGATGAATAGTTGACTTTTTAATAAATCAATTAATATATAGATTTCAATAAAATAAGCTCAGTTAGATCCCCAATGAATCAGCAATTGATGAGATCTACTTGAAGTTTCTAGATTCTAAGATTTCTCATAATATTGAATTGGTCTGTATTGAAGGTTTCGAATGAATTAAGATTTTAATTTTAGTCTCTCTCACTCCCTAATATATATAAGTTCAAACTACATTCTCAGTTATATATATATATATATATATAAAACTTTATGTGGTACTGGACATGCATTACCGGCCTGTGAATTCAAAGAATTCCACCATTAAGATTGATCAAATATTAAATATAATTTAATAGTAATTTAATTTAAAAAATAATAAATTTAATTTTAATTGATGAGAAAATTGATATAAAATACCCTTATGAATAAAAAAAAAAACACTATATAGCTACATGTCAAATTCAAATTAGTCGGCAGAGAAAACTCAAAGCACCGAATTTGAATGGTAAATATCTCATTAATTAAAGCATTTAAATTCTTTTGTTGAATAATAGATATACTCGTTTACAAACAAGCGTAAGTGTCTAAGAAATTCTACTCTCATGAATTAAAGTACCCTAAATTTTATAACTTTTCAAAAAAAAAATTATATTTTTAGTTGACCAGAGAGATATTTGAGAATATTAGAAATGAAAATACATGAAAAAAAGAAATGGGAGGGTAAAAAACAAAAGGTAAAAAGGAGAAGCAGTCCAACTCATGTGAAAAGAATATATATAGGTAGCTAGCAATGTCAACCCTGATGACATGGGAACCACAAAACGACTAGACTGTGATGATGTGCACGTGTGGTATACTTATCATTTCATGTGGTAAAAAAAAAAGAAAAAAGAAATTAACATCATTAGAAAAATTCCCACCATTTGACTCATGCCCAACAATGATTGTTCATAATGGTGGCTTTGGCAGGCCGTGGAAATGCAGTCATACATGTAGTGATGGGCGTGGCTCCTTTTTTCTCTATTTTGTAATCGACAGAGGGTCTCTGGAAAGAGGATTATGGCGATGATCCACTCAGGATGTCTTTTTTTTTTTTTTTTTTAATTATTATCATTATTTTATTACTTCGCAGCTTGACTCGAAGATTTGTTTTGGTGAGAGAAAAGAGAGTGGGAGATTTGACAACCAAGCACTAACGCTTCCATTTAGTAAAGTTTTAAAAAGGAACCCTCGACGAGGTGTTTGGCTTAATGCCAAAAGCACTTAATTTCAGTTTGAAAAGATCATGTACAGAGATAAATTAAAATATTAATTCGATTCGATTTTTAATTAAATTTAGTTTGAAAAAGAGAAATCAGATTATTTTTACTTATTTAATTTTGGTTTGGTTTTTAAAATTTTTAATTAGATTTTTGTCAAAAAGCATTTTTTTTAAAAAAAATGTTTGAGTTTTTTATTGTTATTTGGATTTTAATAATTCTATTTACACCATATTTAAATGATCAATATTTTTTTTATCATTATATGTTTTAGGTTTGGATTAGTGGTTTTGTATTTAAATTTTGATATTTTACTACATGAGTTATGATTTTATATTTTAATTTTATTTAAATAAATATTTATTATTATTTTTTATATAACCTAATTTAGATCATTTGGGATAAAAGAAAGACTTTATAACTCATAACACGATTATATATATATATATATATTAAAAATTGATTTTCACGAACACGAAAAGAAAATAAAAATTTGATTCGAATTTGATTTTTATTAGAGAATTCAGCAAAAATGTTAAAAGTCAAAACCAGATGCATATATATGTAATTTTAAAAATCGATCTTCACCAAAAGGAAATAGAAATTTGATTCGAATTTGATTTTTATTAGAGAATTCAGTAAAAATGTTAAAAGTCAAAGCCAAATGCCCATATATATATTATTTTAAAAATCGATTTTTCACCAAAAGAAAATAGAAATATGATTCGAATTAGATTTTTATTGGTGAATTAAGCAAAATTAAAAGTCAAAACCCGAATGCTCACCCCTGCCAATAAGAACCTGACAGGTTCATCCCTTCAAGGAAGACCACAACATATTGAAAATGCTAGTCCTAGTTCCCAACGCCCAACTCACAACAACTTACCTTCATAGGGTGCTGACCAATTTAAAAGTAGTTTTACTTTATTTTCGTTTGTTTTAACATTAGGGGGAATAGTCCAAAGACATTTGTCCTCGAAAAAAGATTGGTCAGCAAGTAATCGCAAGTTTCCCAAGGGTTAAAAATACTTAGTCAAATGCATGGGCATCACGAACTAAAAGATAGACTATCAACCTGCGAAGAACCATATGATTTTTTTTTTTAATTTTAAAAAGAAAGAAAGAAAGAAAAACACTATAATTTATAAATATATACAAATGTCAGGTGTGTTGCGTGAATTTTCTTTATTCCATTGAAGATATTCTTATATGGGTTTCTCCATGATAAGAATCTGATTAGATATCGTGGGAATCATATACTTTTCATTTTATGATTAAAAACACATTTTTTTGGTTGTTTGTTATAATATTTGGTCTTGAATATGAGACGAATGACCAACTAGATATGGTTACAATTTCAAATCAACTTTCTTACATCAACATTGAAGATATTTAGTTGAATGTACTTTCCTAGTCTTGTTTAGATTTAAAAAAAAAAAAGAGAAAAAGAAAATAAAATCTATTGACTAAAATTATTTTCAAAACTTATTTCATTTATAGCTTTGGTTATTTTTTTATTTTTGACTTTCTTGAGGTGTAGTAATTGGAGTGAGAGCTGTAAAAGACGATGAAAGAGTAAAAAGAGAGAGAAAAAGGAAAAGAAAATGTAGGGAATGAGTAGTAATTCGATAGCCAAGAATTGCATGATTGATACCATAAAGCAACCAACTAGCTTTCTCTGTTCAGCCAAAACGTGCTTTTTTTTTTTTCAATTTATTTATGTGTCCTTTTACTACTCTCAAAGTCTCAAATCTCTAACAACAACAAAGGTCAAAACTCAAAATCCTTAAATCTCTCTAAAAACCCTCCCTTGTTTCTCTCTCCCTGTCTCTCTGTCTCTCTCTCTCTCTTCAATGGCGGCCAAGAAGAACACCACAAGAAGACTTGAACAGCTCTTAACCCACCCATTTCTCATTCTGTGTCCGAGACTCAGTCGCTTCCTTTGACATCCTTTTTTTTCAGCCTTACAAAACCCAAAATTTTCTCTCTAGAATAGATAACACCACAAAACAAAAAACAACACCACCCTCCACTAATATCTCTCTCTTTTGGTCTTGGTTTTCGTGTTCCATTTCTGCTTTTGTTAAAAACCCATTACTTATCTCTATCATTCCAAGAAAGAAAACACAAAAAGGAAGCATCTTGGAGTTTCAAAGGCTTTCACTTTGAGATCTGTTTTTATTTTTTTAGTTCTTGTTCTTGCTTTGGTTAGTTTCTTCGAGTTGTTGAATTTGGTTTCTTGAATCTTGAAAGAAAGATTCTTGAAGTAAAAATGGGAAGTAAATGGAGAAAAGCAAAGCTGGCTTTGGGTTTTAATCTTTGTGTTTATGTACCTAGGACTTTAGATGACTCAGCAGCACCTTCAACTGAAAGATTATCTGATGCTGCTTTGCTTTCACCTACAAATTGGGATTCTAGGCCAATGACACCGACGCCATCTTCACATGGGTTAAGGTTGGCCAAGAGTGGAAGCAAATCATCCAAGGTCTGTTTGCTCTTTTCTTTTTTCACATTTTTATATGTTTTTATTTGCAAAGGATTTAACCTTATGGCGTTTTCTTTATTGTTTCTTGACGGGTTTGGGTAGTTCTTAGTTGAGCTTGTAGTGGGAATGAAGTTTTGTGTGTATTATTTGCTATATTCTAGTCTCTGTGCTTCATGGGTAGTTCCTAGTTTAGATGTTAGTTTTTGCTATGCTCAATCATGGTTTGTTGCCAGGACTTGTGATTTTCAAGTAATTATGGGTGATGGGGACCTGATAATTACCTTTTTGTCTTTGATTCATGAGAAGCAGAGCAGGTTAAGCAACACCTACTGTTTTTTTTCTGTTGTTTTGCTGATCCTTCAAGCCTAAGCATAACTAGTTCTAATAAGCCAAATAGGCGTCCTGCCATTAATTTAATGAAGGGTTTTCCTTATGAGGTGTAGCATAGATAAAGAATCTAGTTTCGCAGATTTTCATTAATTTTCTTGTCCAACATCGTTTTCACCTTAAAAAAAGGGGCACTGGATTTTTATAAGCATTTATCTCATTTGTATTTTTCTCACGACATGGACAGCTGAAACAGTTTAAGCATTTATTTATGAGTTTTTTTCTAGCTTCTTTGTTTTATTTGCATTTTAGAGATTTTGTACGACTAATCATGGCATTTAGTGTTTTTTAAGTTGCGCATGCTTGTATCTTTGTTTCTTGTTTGGCTCTATATTCTCATTCTAAAATGAACATATAGATGGATTCTGCATCTATCTGCAGATTTAGTTTGGAAAATTTCCTGCATATCCTCTTTATGCTGAGAAAATGGACTGTAGAATTGAATGATGTATTTCTATTTGGTCTGATCTTATACCAGTAGTTTTGGCAGTTTTTGAGGAGTACTTGAAATTATGGATCTGAGTTGCTGATGTCATGTTGTTTTCCTTTCTTTGACCTTGTGGTGTTACATCACGAGTCCCTTTCTGAACCATTACCAATTGCCTTATTAGTAAAAGAGGAACACTACAGGTTCATCTTTCCTTTTCCTCGTTCCCTTGGAGGCAAGAAAAGCAGTTTGTGGTGACTTGAACTATTTTGAGTATTTGGTTGCAAGCTTTCTAGGTGTGAAACTTCATCAGAGAGTAAAAGAAAAGACAGGAACAGAATCATCATAAAGCAACTTAGCATTTCCCCTCCTTTCATAGATGTGGATTTGGATTTAGCATTGTTGCTTCCTGTTTTTGTTGAAAGCTTTGGTTCATCTATATCCACATATAGTTGCTTGATAACCTTCCAAGGTCACTCTCTTATTTTAACTCTCCATTTCCTAGTGTGCCCCATATGTCGGATACCTAACATTGACTTTCTTTTAATCTTAATGCTGATCTCTTGCTGCTTTTCTTTCCTTTTTGATAACACTTCTTTCTGGCCTGGCCCAAGGCCCTAAAGCTGTTCATACCTACAAATCAGACTGTAATTTGATATCTGTAATTTTTGCTGATATTGTACACATAACCACTGGAAAAAAAAGTGGAAAATGTAAGCACATGCTTTTCATTATGTTAGAAGTCTGTTTTCTTGATTACTAGATGTCAGAAGTAGTTTCTAATTTGTAGTTTCTTCAAATCAGACTGACATGCAGCCACTCACTTTTGGACGTGTAAGTTCTGGAGATTCTTCTTAAACTAACTATTTACTCACAGATTTTGTGTTGTGTTCCCTCCTTCAAAAGTTGCTGAAAATTTTGAATTTTTTGTTAACTCTGTTATGTGGTCGGAAGCTTTTAATTAGACTGCTTTGATGAGTTTATCTTAACATGCTTCCAGAGTAGGACCTTCACTTACCTTGACTGGTCGGTCCTGTGATACAGCAACTTCTGCTAAGTTAATATTGGCATTAACATTCTCAGCCGAATATTGAGACTTATCAAATTGCTCAACTCAACTAGTAACTTTTCTTTCTGATCTCTGTAGACCTATTTTATATTCATAATTCTTTGCTAGATGAGTGTTGTTTACGAGTTTGCTGGGGTGCTATGGCATCCCCATGCTCCTCATCTATGCTGCTGCTGCTACTGTCTTGAATGTTGTGAGAATATATTTTTATTTTCAAATTTCATCTGATAAATGCCCTTTCTGACTTGTTTTCCATTTGCAATTTCAGCAAACTTGCTCAATATGCCTGACCAAGATGAAACAAGGTGGTGGACATGCTATTTTTACTGCAGAGTGCTCACATTCCTTCCATTTCCACTGTATTTCTTCAAATGTGAAACACGGCAACCAACTTTGTCCAGTTTGCAGAGCGAAATGGAAAGAAATTCCCTTTCAGGCGCCCACTTTGGATCCACTGCCTGGGAGAGCATCAGTAGGTTGGCCCCAAACTGATGCTTTGATGACAATGGTTCATCGATTACCTCCTCCACCACGTCGAGATCTGAATCGGCGACATGTTGTGCCATTGCTGCAGGCTCCTGAACCTAGTGTGTTTGATGATGATGAATCCTTGGATCTCCAACCTGCATTTGTCGAGAGAAGCTCTGGCAATAAAAATGCTGCAGACCACAATTCTGCTAAAACAGTGGAGATCAAAACATACCCAGAAGTGTCAGCTGCATCACGGTCTAATTCTTATGATAACTTCGCTGTCTTGGTCCATCTCAAAGCTGCTGCAACAGTTGCAAGACAAAACCACAGAGGAAACAAGGCTAGCTTGCCTCAACTATCTCAAACTCCTCGAGCGCCAGTTGATCTAGTCACAGTGCTTGACATCAGTGGTAGCATGGCGGGTACAAAGCTGGCATTGCTAAAACGAGCAATGGGGTTTGTTATACAGAACCTTGGCTCCAACGACAGGCTCTCGGTTATCGCCTTCTCTTCCACTGCCCGTCGCCTCTTTCCCCTTCGTAGAATGTCTGACACAGGCCGGCAGCATGCACTTCAAGCTGTCAACTCTTTGGTTGCAAATGGTGGGACCAACATTGCTGAAGGTCTGAGAAAGGGAGCCAAGGTAATGGAAGACCGAAGGGAAAAGAATCCTGTGGCAAGTATTATACTGCTATCTGATGGGCAGGATACTTATACTGTCAGTGGTAATAGTGGTAACCAACATCAACCAAATTACCAGTTGCTACTCCCTTTATCTATTCATGGTGGTGACAATGCGGGATTCCAGATTCCAGTACATGCTTTTGGCTTTGGGGCAGATCATGATGCTTCTTCCATGCATTCCATTTCTGAAATTTCTGGAGGCACCTTCTCTTTCATTGAGACTGAAGCTGTGATCCAGGATGCTTTTGCCCAGTGCATTGGGGGGCTTCTGAGTGTTGTTGTGCAGGAGTTGCAAGTGGGAGTTGAGTGTGTGCATCCTAGTATCTGCCTTGGCTCATTGAAGGCTGGGAGTTACCCTAATCGTGTGATGGCTGATGCCCGCTCTGGGTTTATCGATGTTGGAGATTTATATGCTGATGAAGAGAGAGATTTTCTGGTTTCAGTCAATGTTCCAGCAGAGTATTCCATGAATCAAACATCACTGCTAAAGGTGAGATGTGCATACAGGGATCCTATAACTAAAGAAATGGCAACATTAGAAAGTGAAGAAATTACACTTGAAAGACCTGAAATATCTGGAGAAGCAGTAGTGTCAATTGAAGTGGATAGGCAACGCAACAGGCTCCAAGCAGCTGAATCAATGTCACAGGCAAGAACTGCTGCTGAACGGGGAGATCTAGCTGGTGCAGCTTCTATCCTAGAAAACTGCCGAAGGGTATTGTCAGAAACTGTATCAGCTAAGTCCAATGATCGATTATGTATTGCATTAGATGCTGAGCTCAAGGAGATGCAAGAAAGGATGGCAAGCAGACATGTGTATGAGGCATCTGGGAGAGCGTATATTCTATCAGGCCTAAGCTCGCACTCATGGCAAAGAGCAACTGCAAGAGGAGATTCTACTGAAGGTTCAAGTCTTCTCCAATCTTATCAAACCCCATCAATGACTGAGATGCTTACTCGATCTCAGGCTACGTTCCTGGGCAGTCCATCAGCTCAGAGGCTTGTTCAACCATTGTGGTCAATTGGATCTCAACCAAAGCCAAGGTGATTACTTAGGACTATTGTGGGAATTATCTTCAAGTAGCCTTTTTCAGTGCCTTCCCTTTTTGTTTTCAAATATTATTTGGGGTTACAGGGATAAAACCGGAGAGATAAGACGAGTTTTTTTGTACTGTGATTTTGCTGATGTCACGTGTAAATGAATAAAAACTGGGGAAAGGTGTGAGGGGATATATTTGGGAGGAAAGAGAAAAGGAACACTAGGTAGGTTTTACAACTTTTGCTCTCTTATTTGTGTTGTTGGGGGTGATGTACATAAGGAGCAATGGTTTTTTCTCCGGGATAACTGGGTATAAGTTTGTAATTGTGGAGATGGTTGGGGTGAAGTTTTCGCGTAATATAGTTTACCTGCTCTCAATTCTTTTCAGAGAGTGTTAATCTTTATTGCCAATTTTATTCTTTCTTCTGTCAATGCACATGCATAATATGCATATTTGGGGCCTGCATGGGGACTGTCTTCTTGTCATTTATATCAAGCACTGCAGAAGGAAAAGAAGAGAATCATTTTCCATGTTACTTTGGTTAGAGAATGGAATGGTTCTTTGTCCCATAGCTGTCAACTTATTGCACTGCCTGCTGTGGATTACGTACATGTCGGACAATTGGGATAGCCAGTGTGTTTCCTGAGACTGTAAATGCAAAAACTGTTATCGGGAGGAATGAGGAGAGTGGAGGAGAAATGGCAAGAAATAATGGTGAAACATAGAGCGTTCAATCAGTCATAACTCAATAATGGTGAAACATCCGGACAAAAGAAATGAAATTTTGTCAGAAATAATGCCAGACCCAAATGTGTTATTGTTAGACACTAGGTTGCTTCACTCCAAAAAGATGGTACCATCGATGTGATTCCAACTTACTCCGAATTATCCTTGCCTCTGGAGCCTAAGCTTTCATGTCAATCATTTGCACTGTAATAGATGAAAGCCTCTTCAAGATGCTTGCTCTTCAGCGCGGAATTTTTGAAATTTCCAGTAAGTTAATATATATAATGCGGATGCAAGCATAATGTCTTCCCCCATCTAGACCATTGGATCGGTTTTTGTTTTCAAATCAAGTAGTTCAGAAGGACAGAGGCATTGTTCCTGTGCCCAAAACAAAGCATCCTAGACCCACCCTATAAAAAGCTCGCAAGGGATCCCTATCAGTTCAGGGAAGAAGTAGAAATGAGATTAGGGACCACCCACCAAATGTACAGAAACTTGCTGAACTTGATGAGAAATAGTGAAATACAGATGCGTTTGACGTAATACAACAGGCTTTGAATGGTAGATGGATGGAGTGTCAAGAAAGGGAGCTGAACCAAATTACTCTGTCCACATTCCCATGTAGTATTGTAAAACAAGAACTCTGTTAGTTCAAAACCTCTCGAACACCCATCGACTCCAGAACTACTTTAGTTCCCCTCCGATTACTACAATCAGAGATGGATCCACCTACACCGCAAGAAGCGCCACCACCAGCAGGCCTGCCTGCTGGACCGTATAGACGACTATTGTCATGGTAATGCCTATTTCATTTTCCTTGCCTATATAACATGCAAACGACATATCAGATGCTGCTATTGTTTTGGGTAATTTTACTCTTCAAATTTTTTTTTCAATGCTCGAAATACCCAGGATCTGGTTTCTGTGCTGCTGTGGTCTATTTACGAGTTGCTGTCCAGGTCTGTTTCCACCCGAACCACCACCTGCAGTGTGACGACTTGGTGGTGTAATATGTACGTACAAGTTTGAATAAAGAATTCTCTTCCTCTCAGACCAATCCTTCATTTGAAGTATGATCGACAAATGAACAAGAGAAGTTTTAATATATGATCCAGTGCTAGTTCTGCTCTTTGGAATTTAGGGCTCTTTTGGGATACAAAATAAACAAATGTGAACATTCAACTTATTCAGGCAAAATTGGATGCTTGTATCTCATCTATTCACTATTTATTGTTGAACAACAGGGTCATATGGAAGCGTTTCATTCATAAAACCGGAAAAATAGTATTGCTACCCAAATCATACAAAATCTCATGGACTTTCCAGCTAATGTGCAATATAGTGACAAAAGCAACAGGCTGAAACTAGCAGCACTAGCCTGATATGCCTTCTTTTGGCCTGGGAATTTTTTTGTATTCAAAATTGTTTATGTCCACTTTCTTTTGCACAGCCTGTAAAACACAGGAAGGCAAGTAAGCTATAGCAATGTCTTTGGTTTTGTTAATTTGAGTTGTGCTATCAGGAGTTCAGAACCACAATTACCTTTAACTCCTCTTCCAATGATATCTTTTTAGGCTTGTATGATCCTGTTGGTCCCGATCTAGATAATGCTTCTTTTGTCTCAATAATCTCCCATTCTCGATCATCTTTCACCTTTGCAATATCCTTCCTGAACTACAGAATCCCACCACATTAGTAGAAGATTATGAAATTACAACCTGAAGATAATAGTGAGTATAATGAGGCTTTCAGGCACCATAACAGTGTTTAAAACAGGCATTATTCATGAATCACTTAAGGACCAAGACCACTAATTGAAATCATGATCACAAAAGCATATATATAGATCATCTGCAAAACAGCTAGGCCATGTGCATGACATGAAGAAGGCCATGCCAGAGAAAAACCATGGCCGTTTTGCAATCATTTGGATTATATGAACAAATAACCCATTCTGATCCTACAAGAGTGAAATGATTATCGTTAAACTGCTCAAAATCCTCCAACAATCTTGGCCAATCTCTTCCAGTGCAGCCAAAGGATCTCACTGACTGTTTCACCTTACATTCATATTTCAATGATACCACATCAGAAATCTGCACGACCAATACAAGTACTTCTTTTCATAGGATACATTAAAAGATTAGAAATATAAAGGTAATGTCATACAATTAAAAACTTTCAAACAGCATCCAGAAGTTTCAAATTGAGAACCACCTAACTTCTCCTAAAGCAAGGCTTTTAGAAAGCCGGTTGATCTATATCAAGAGAAAATAAGTACACTTCCTTCAATATGTAATCTCCTCCATTAATGATACTTCAGCCATGCAAACTCCAATCCCAAAAAACCCCATCTCAACCAGAAAAGAACTCTGGCCAAAAACCAATACCGACAGGCTTCCAAGTAACTGCATATCATCCAAGAATTACACAAACCACTGGCCTTCAAAGCAAGTGAAACTAAAATAACTAGCAACTAAATACACTAACATCTCCATAAACTAATCAGCCAGCTGCAACTTCTGTCTGCAACTATTTGCTAACATGAGCTTGAAAATAACCTTAAAATTTGGCCACTCGCTATTTTTAATAACTCAAATAAACCTAAATAAAGCAATTTGTGTGCATTACGAAGGAAAAATAAATAGTTAAACAACACAAACACAAGCTAACTGATTCATAAAGTTACAAAACTTTTTATAAACTTAACAAACCACAAACAGAAGCTAACGTTGTCATCCAAAATTCAACACCACCCTGGTCTATAAACGAAAATACGAACTGGGTTTTTCACAAAACTACAAAATAAACTGTTCCCACATGAATTCTTACAATCTTACAGTATTACAAAAGTCCCGTCTTTCATACTAGGATTTATAAAGCTACAAACTTTTTCATAAATGGAGAAAAAGAAAGGCACAAACCTGCCTTGCAAGAGATGAGCAAGACCTAAAGCACCAAAAACAGTGAGAGAAATCATGGGGAGTCCATATCTGATGAAGGGATGGCCCCTACCCCATCTTTTAAACGACGATGCAAACGATTTGTCTACCTTATTAGCTCTGCTGGTGGTTTTTTGAGGCCGGCTCATATCGGTCTCAATTGTTGACATTTTTTCTCTAATTCATTTATCGCTACACGCATTAAAGTCTTGAGATGTTTGGATTTTGATTTTCATGGGTTCTGTTTGGGGAGATTTTTGCTGCTTGATTTGAATAATGTTTTATATGTTTAGGGATTTAAAATGTTTGGGCTGGGCTTTCTCTGACAAATATTAACAAGATTCTCTTGTTTTTTGGGCCTAGGTCCTTGGTTTTGACTTTTGAGGTATACGTATAATTTCCTTTCCTTTCCTTTCCTTTTTTTTTTTTTTCATTTTCATCCATAAAAAAATCGAAAATTTTATTACATACACCATATTCATGAGGACCATAACTGTCATATAGGTTAGACGAGACCCATCACGTGTGTCTACTAAATATTTTTAAATCAACTTTTATACTATAAATATTAAATTTATTATTTTTCGTTCGACGTGGGCATCAAAATATGCTTAATATTTAATCGATTATTAAACAATTTGATTTACATAGATCATAAGTATTTAATAATTTCTCTTAAAATCAATTGAAATACGAAATTAGGGTTCTTATTTTCTCCTTGAAAAAAAAAATGCTAGTCGTTAGTTGAGTTACTCGTGTTAAAAGTTGCAAATTTTTGAAAATCAAAATACTTTAATAAGAGAAGCAGAATGTAAGCTATCAAGTCGATCTACTATTGAATATTTTATGAAACTTGAAAGACATTACAAAAAGAATGGCATCCCCTCGTGCGAGCTATAGTTTTGGTTTGCATGCATTGGCATGGGTTCCCAGAGCAAAATTAGGCAAATCTGGAACATTTGCAATGACAAGGAAGAAATCAGAGTAACCAGTTGAGGAAAAATTCTGGTGTTTGTTTTACAGAGGTATAAATCTATCCAAGTATCTAGAACAAGAAAGCCTAAATCAAAAACTCTTTTTTTATTAAGAAAGAAAAAAAGAAAGAGACAATAAAGAGAGAGAATGGCTGTTTCTGATTGTTTCCTTGTGGGTGGGTTTGGGATAATAGGGCAAAGTTTTTTTTTTTTTTTTTTTTCAATAATAAGTATAGTTTATTAATAATTTGTTTTAAAATATTTTCTTTTAATTTTTGAAGAAAAAACTATTATTTGAGACTCATTATGTCATATGTCACTTAATTATTCAATGTCATTAAATTTAATTTATTACATCGAATAAAAATTGACGTTATAATAACGGAGTATCTGAATCAATTGAGAAAAAAATGGGCTATCTGTCGTTAACGAATTGACAATGAGAGAATTAGTGCTCGTGAGTCAATGAGGGAATACCAAGAACACCTCGTCAATACTACAGAGAAATACAACCACATACTTGACAAGTGGCAAAGATACGTGTTCTAACTATGATATGAGAAAGGAAAATAAAAATAATGGTTGTCTTATATAGACCATCGTAGAGAATTCGTTTATTCTTTATAGATTCGTCAATGCTCAATCAGAAATGCCACCACATAATTGAAATTATATAAAATTAAGATATAAGTATGAGATATCTTTTATTTTAGAAAAATATAGTATAAGCGCATGCGAAATTAGGATATGAGTACGGTATACCTTATTTGTGCATATACTATTTATATTTTAATGTTCTCAAATATTAAAAATACTGACCAATGAAAACCAATACTAATATGAGCAATGTTATTTTTACTTGACTGCTTTACATAATTCACTTATTTAAAAAAATATCAACCATTAGACAGTTAAATAAATAATTTTCTTAGTGACTCTCATAAATATAATGATTAATGTTTTTCGATAAGAGAATTTTTAAAACAATCATATAAGAATAACATTACTCACACTAATATCTATAGCTAAATACAGATTAATTAAATAACTAAAAGTTCAAAATTTACATTATAAAAAACCCCCCAGCAATTCCAAAGATCCAATAAGAAATATAAGTTCCACGAAAGAGTGATAACTTTAATGTAATTAAGACAGATAGCTACCGATAACAATTTCCGACATTACTCAACCTGATTGGATGCATACTAAGCATTACCGATTTACTAATTAATCGATTAGTGTGGGTGCTTGAGTGCATAATAAACGCACGTTGAACGGTCGTTTTGGCCTTGGAAATACTTTCATGGTGAGTAAAGCCGTCTCATGTTGTCATATTCTGAAACAGAAGGCAGAGTTTTTTTTTTTTTTTAAAAAAAAATGGAAACAGAAGCAGAAAGCGAGCTGCCAAAAGTGACTGTAAATTTGTAATCATTAGTAGGCTTCAAAGACCTTAGAAAGTTTACAGCAACCTAATGTTCTGTTTGCATGTATGAGCATGAATTTAGAACAATAAATCAAATTTGGAAAGTTCGCTGAAATAGACAAAAACAGTAAGATGATAAACATGAAGCAGCAAAATTATCTGATCAAAATGACCCAGTGCGATACATCACAGGATAAGCTAGACCAGCTTCAAACTAGCAAGTAGCAACAACAAGACAGCTAATGCAAGACTCAAGAAAGGAAAATTTTTTTTTTCTTCTTTTCCAGAAAGTTTGAGGTTCATTCTACCAATTCATGATTGTGATTTTCTCCTCCAATCATGAGTGGTGCTGAGGATGTTGGTGATTCTTTGGTATCTGTTGGTTTTGATGCTTTTGGATCCCCAGATTTTGACTTTGATCGACCAAAACCGAACTTTTTGAACAAGATGTTCCAACTCCCCACCTTTGTTTTCCCCAGCTTCTCAATCTCTTGTTTCATGCTCAAGCACTCTTTCTGGAGCTCAGAAACTCGCTCTTTCATGTCATCAACCACAATGCGGCTATGTGCGGCTCCTGCTTGGGAGTGCATATCATTTCTGGCAAGAGCAAGATTCCCACTTAGATTTTGTGAATTGTCAAGGTTTTCAGAGACAAAGAACCAGCCAGAAACAGAGGTGCGAAGCCGTAGTTGTTCAAAGAATAAAACTTGGACAATGACTCTAAGAGGTAGCCTCTCATTCTGGGCTGCGTGAGTGCTGGCTTCCAATGAAAACTTCTGACAGTTCATGAGCCTGCTAAGTTGTTCCCTCTCAGAATCTGTTAGCCATGGATGAGACTGCAGTAAAAGGAAAGTTTTAGTGACCAAAGAAATAAAAAAAGCATAGATATAAGGCACAAGCAAATAGCTTTGTAGGAGAAGAGATGGAGGCTAGCCAAAAATTGAAAAGAGATGGAGGAGCATGTCGAGCATAAGGTTCAACTTTCAACAAAATAGTGCTTCATTTTGAACAATGTCACTAGATAGTGAACAGAGAACCTCCTAAGGTTGAACTATAACAAAGAACCTCCTAAGGTGGAACAATATCATCAAATTTAATGATTAACTTTCGCAAGGAATAAGAAGAGAACCATTTGAAACTTGATAGTGAACAGAGAACCTCCTAAGGTTGAACTATAACAAAGAACCTCCTAAGGTGGAACAATATCATCAAATTTAATGATTAACTTTCGCAAGGAATAAGAAGAGAACCATTTGAAACTTACTGCCTTTACCTTAAGATATATGTCAATTGCTCGGTAAATTCCATCATCTAATGGCCTAGCATATTCAGGGATAACAGCAGCTAGGGATTGAAACTTCGCTAACTTCAAATTAACATCAGGTGCCACCTCTGCCAGATAACTATCTATCAGATTTGCCACCATTGTTATTGGTGTGAGCGAATGAGAAGCTTCCATGATTTGTCCTTCATCTACTACGTAATTCGATGGAGGATCATCACGATACACCAGCATGAAATGATCGAGAATTCGCTGAACACAGTCAATATCATAAAGGGTTTCAGCTGAGTAGCCTGTATTTGGTATCAGAAGGTCTTGAAGAGATGCTTGATCCAACTGGGCTCCAATCCGTTTCTCTAAGTTCTCTCGGCATGATGGACTTGCATGTATTATCATGGCTGTTCGCAGAAGCCTAAGCAGGAAATTGCTCGGAGTAACACCCTTTTCATCAGGTAACAATTCCACTAATTCTTCCAGGAGATTCCTTTGATCTGCTTCAGAAGTTGCAGAAATAGTTGATCCTGGAGCAGAAAAGTTTCCACTCTCAATGCTTGATTGCCTGCCGAGCAAAGGAAGATGCCTCTTTGCATAGCACATTAGTGCTCCAGCAACCCTCTCAGGCTTCATATCATTTGAATGAACGGCCAGAATTAGCCTTTTGTACAGAGGTAATCTAAGGAAGGAAACATCCTCATACCACCAATCCTCACCCACAGGATGCGGCTTAGCTGAAGTGCGTATTCCATTCCAGAATACGGTGCCATCTGGGTTCCTCTTGTCGCTGCCTCCTTGCATGGGCCAACTGAACAAACTTGGATCTGCAGAAGCTTTCATTGCCAGGGAATTGATGCATCTCGAAACAATATGAAGCTCTTCTGCTTGTGGTAGAACTTCTTCACAGGTTTCAAGAGCTTTAAGGGAGTCTGTCCAGCCGCCAAATACTTCATTGAGAAAATTTTCTGTTTCCGTGATGAGGTTTCCCTCTCCATAGTCTTCGCTCATTCCAAGATACTCAGCAGCACATCTGAGACTGACTACATTCGATGCATTGAGTTCCATTTTTACACCATAACAAAATTTCGCAACGAGCAAGAAGGTTTTTGATCCACCAGGTACATCATGAAGTTGCAGAACACGCTTTTTCTCGTCCTCATTAGAATGATGTCCAATAAGATTTTCTAGTACTTTACTTCTGGAGAGCAATGGAAACTGGAGTATATAAAAGATAATAAAAGAGAAAATTTAGCTCAATAATGAGTAAATAAAATCGTAAAAGAGGCCAGTAGAAGAAATGGTGTCGGCCACAGTTCTAATTAGCTAGGCAGAACGGAGAAGCCTTTTGTTCTTCCCCAATGAATGGTAGAGCGTACCAAGGCCAATTTGTAAGACACAAGTATCATTATATCTAAGAAAAAGAAGTACAGGGAAAACAAATCAACAATCGAGAAATAATAACAGGATGGAGATAATTGCTTCCAAAAATTCTTTCCATTTTACTAATTTCATTCATTAAAATTTTCATAAACAATTAGGATAAAAGGTACAAAAGAAAGTCTCATTGCTAAATCTCCTTTTGATCCACGATATACTTAATATTTTGAGGTGAAAGGAGCTAATTTAACACATGGAAGCAATATCTTCCAAACTCAGAACACAACAGATGAAATGGGGTAAGAGAAAGCAGTTAAGATTAAATGCCAGTTACGATATTCTTTAGCTAACTGGTGATGATTTGAAATAACTAAAAATTAATGCCAAATAAAGCTTTCCCTGATTACTTGGAAGAATCAATAGTGAAATCATCAAGTATCCATTTTCCTGTATCCAAATAGCAGGCTCTTCCTTAAAAATTTCAAGATCGATCTGCTTAGTATGGTCTGTTTTATTAAATAGTCGACGAAAGAATAACTCAGTGTTACAAGATGAGCGTGCCATTCTAGTTAATTTCTTCTATTTGCAAAATTCGCACATAAGATATGAGACACGCTCGGCCAGGCTTAATGTTGCTCTTAAAGGAGCACTCTTCAAGTGTCACCTTAGAATGAACCTTGATGCGATGCAAGCCTTTCGGAGTGGTGTCTATATAGCACACACTAATTTTAGTAATCAAGCGGCAGAACTAACGTAAGGTCTGGCCATGTAAACTCACCTTGTGGAGATGGAAAGACGTCTCCCCAATTTCAATTATGACATCACTCTGAAGCCCAGTTGAGCAAAGCCTGCACCAAAGCACATTCTGGTTTCATTAAAAAGCAGTTGGAAATCTCTATTTAAAAAGCAAACTCTATGTACTTATAGAAGTATAATTAGTTATGAAGTGAGGTTATAGATGTGTTATTTCGCATCCATAAATGATATAATTCCTGAATAAACCTGTTTGTAATCCAAAAGCAAGTGGAAGTAAATCCAATTGACTGCACACAGGAATTGGAATTGACTCAACAACTTTGCACCTATCTACAATACAATTTCATTTGAATTTTTTCACCCCATAACGAAAAGGAGCAAAGACCTTACTCATTCATCTGAACTCATTTATCATTACATTGACTCATCAATACCACTATGTAATGCCAGTGATCATTGCAAATAATCATCTTTAAACACACATTTGCCGAACATAATAATCCATAAACACACAAAAACCTCACATAATTACCATTTTACACCATCATATAATCAACTCAAAAACTCATTTCAACATAAAAAGAAAAAAGAAGAAGAAAATAAACCCATTTTACGATTTCCAAACTTTTGACAAAAACCCATTTTTCTAAAATCATCATTGCAATCAGTCCGTAACCATAATCAAATACATTGCATTCATCCACACGCAAATATACAAATATATATATGTAAAGGAAAGAGTGACAGACCAGGTATGGCCATTAAGATGAAATACTTCTGATTTTGATCCCAGCTTCATGCAAGCCATGTATAGAGCTTAAGCTGCTGCAAACATTAAAAGGAGCTGTCAAAGCAACAATCTTTTTCGATGTAAATAGCGAAAGAAACAATCTTTAATGAGGAAAAGCAATGGAAATGGTGATTTCTGAATTCTGACAGTGATGGAAAGGGAAATGAGTGAAAAAAAAAGTGGGCTTTGGTCCTTTTTGATAAAGTTTGCAGCTTTTCCGGTAATATGGAAAAAATAAATATAAATTATGTAGAGTAAACAAAGAGTCCCGAGTCCATAGGGGAAAATCCAGGAGCAGAATCTGTTGCTGCTGTTACAAGAAAAAGGCAGTGTTTGTTTCGGTCATCTTTATAACTACTTACTGTTTTCTTACGTTAGTACTGAAACAGTGGCCGTAAACATTTTGCATTTAATGGATGCTTCGTTTGCTGTTAAGCACTATTCATTCTTGGAATTATCTCCATTTAATAGTCCCTTTCATTTAGAGAAAATAATTAATTAGTCCAATCTGTTTGCAAAATTAATAATTTATTCTATTACTATTTAATTATATTAATAACTTAGTTTTTTAAAATTATATTAGTCATTTTTTCCCCTAAATTTTCTTATGTCTTATGTCTTCTTCATCTATTCTTTTTTTCTCTCCTCAACCAAAAACTAGAGAAAAGACAATTTAAAAATAAAAACTATTAATCTAATAAAAAAACCTGATAAAGAGACTAAATTATTGATGGAATTAAAATGTAAGTGACTAAATGATTAGTTTTTTAAAGAAATGGGACCAATTCATTTGTTTCTCTAAACAAAAAGGATTAATTTATAATTTACTCCTAAAAAGCATGTTTCAATTTTTAATCTACCACAATTTTTTTCTTTCCAAGCCATAAAACACATGTTTGAATTTTTGCATGTGATTTTACTAGCATGAAAATGACCAAAGGATGTTCTTTGGAGACAAAATAACCTATTTAACCACCAGCTAAATTTAGGAACATTTAATAGTGCTATGTTTGGAAGGGTGGAAAGTGAGAAGGAAGAAATTGGAGGAAAAAAAAAACAGAAATTCTAGAGCATTTTCTTTCTTTGGAGAGGAGAAAATTTTTACACGGAACATCGTTAATGGCGCTTTGATATTAGGATGCTACTAAATTCATCAATTAAATTGTTATTTTTACTATTTTTTTCAATAAAATTATCGAGTACATCCCTCCAGTAATATTTTTTATATAATAGTTATTGATAATTGATTAATGATATATTGGTAATTGTATACAAAAAAAAAAAAAAATAGTGAGAATAACAATTTAGTTAATGAATTTAATAGTACTATTGATTTTTATGGTCAAGTACCAATGATATACGAAAAATATTAATTTTGTAATTTTTTCAACCAGTAAATTATAAATTAGTTTCTTTTGTTTCAATAAATGAATCAATTAGTCCCTTTGTTTTAAAAAATAATTATTTATTTTTTAACAAGCGTTGATCTTGCTTAATTTAATATTACTTATTTTTTTAAAAAAAAACTTTGCTCTCATCAATCTTTACATAATATCTATTTATTTTTTATTTCTCTTTTTTAATAAAAAAATTAGAAAAAAATAAAAAAAATGAAAAAACTAAATAATTAATTTTGAAAGAGAAAAAATATTTAATTCATTTTTCAATCAATCACTCTTTCGATCACATTATTAAACAAACCAAAAGGTATACATAGTAATATCAATTTTAGATTTATTTTTTGCGTTATATAATTTATAATTTCAATAGAAATATATTTAAGAATAATACTGAATTTATCTAAAAAAATATCAATACTGAATTAGAAAATATTAATATGCTGTGAATGAATGAGCACTATTCTAAAATTATTTCATAATTTACGATGGAGTCAGCCCAGCAAGAATCAATTCGAGGGCTTTCTCAAGCGGTAAAATTATGATATTTTTTGGATGGGTCCAGACAAGTGTCCTTCATGGGCCACATTGGCATCTCTACTCACATAACAAGTCAAAGGCCCATACATGTCTGTCTGTCCAAAAAGCCCAAATCTTTGAACGACCCTCTCCTCCATTCTCCTTTTATGTCTCGTCACTTGTCACTCTCCTCGAGTCCTCGTAGAAAAAATACATACAGCAGAGGACTTAGCAGTTTCCAAGACATGGCGAGGTCAACAGCCATGGAAGCAGAGCGACTAACTCTACCTCTCTTGATCTTCACATTTCTCACACTTGCTGCTGCATCCTCAACTAACCAGATCCAAATCCTTAACGCCGAACGTAGAGTAAGAGCACCTCTTCCCTCAATTTCTAAAACTGATTTGATCCTGTAAAACAAAAGAAATGATCATATTCCATGATTTGTTGTTTGTTTGTGTTATAATTGCTGCAGATTGACTTGAGTTCACATATCGTTAAGGTCTTCTTGACTTTAAAGGTATGCCCTTTTTAACACTTCTTTGTTTGATTCTTCATTTTTATTGTAATCAAACAAATGGCTTATGATACATTTTCGAAAATTTTAAATTTTTGGGTTTAAATTTATTATTAGTTCTTGAAATTTACAATTTTTTCGTATGAAGAATTTTGATATTGTAGCTCAAAATTCAATTAAAACCCTTTTGCGTAGTGGTGAGGGTTTTGCTTCGAGTTATGTGATTTAGGCACATGTTTTAGGCTTGATTTCTAGCTGTGTTAGGTGCAAACAATTCCATGTTTGGGCAATGGCCGCAAACTTTCATCCAATTTTTACTCAATACATACCAGCACAAAGGTTAATATGTGTCCGGAACATTTGTCATGCCAAATGGTCTGTCGACTTTTGATCTCATATGAAAAGAGTTGAGTATGCCGGATTACTAAGTATACTCACTTATAGGGGAATGTGCATTCCAGATAGCGAGTTTTGTGTGTGAGTACGCTTTGTGTGAATTTCTCCTTTTTATGGACATGAGTATGAATTTAATTCAGGTTGAGAATGTCGGGACAACTTCTGCTTCAGAAATCCTTCTTGCATTCCCACCTTCTCAAGTTGATCAGCTAGCACTTGTCAAAGCACAAATTGCTATAGGCAAGAAGAAGAAGAAAAGTTATGTTCATCTTGAAGTAAACCCAACAGAGCTACCTGATACGCCAAATGGAACTAAATATTTTAGGATATCTTTGCTTAATCCCTTAAGTTCAGGTGGAACTGCAACTCTGGAAGTGCTTTATATATTAACACATGTTCTGGAACCTTTCCCAGCGGAGATAAGCCAATCAGAATCGCAATTGGTATATTTCCGTGATAGTGCATTAGTACTGTCACCATATCATATTAAGCAGCAGACCACTTTTATTAAGACACCAAGTACAAAAGTGGAATCATTTACAAGAGTGGAACCCACCAAGCTTGCTGGTAGAGAGCTGAAGTATGGACCATATGAAGACCGTCCTCCATATTCATTTTCTCCAGTGATTGTTCATCTTGAGAATAACAGCCCATTTGCAGTTGTTGAGGAGCTTTTACGAGAAGTGGAGATATCTCACTGGGGCAACATCCAGATAACAGAGCATTACAAGTTGGTTCATGCTGGTGCTCGACACAAAGGCGTGTTTTCAAGGTTGGAATTGCTGTTCCATGCTGTGTTTTTCCCCCTTTTTAAGTTTTTATCCCTTCATATTCATTCGTTTGCTGTAAAACTCACACCCCTCTCCCTCTTTATTTGTCCTCTTCCTTTTTTTCCCCCTACTTTTGAAGTTAAGCAATAATGCAAGATAAAATGGCATAATGATCAGCATATTGCACATCAGCAAATTCCTGTATAGATAATGCATAATTGGTTTGGCAATAAAGTTCAAAGAATGAAGCTTATATGAGAACCCCTCACCCTGCCCCTGTATCCGTCTGTCTGTGGGTGCATAATGAACCTTAAACTGTTTACATATAGTTTATGTGACTCTGTTTTCTTTTTCACATGTGTTTCATTTCTGTAATTTGTTCATTTTAAATCTCATCTTTTGAGATCTCCTTCTGGCAGGGTTGATTATCAATCTAGGCCATCTTTTAATGGCGTGTCTTCATTCAAACACCTTGTAGCAAGTCTACCACCTAGGGTGCACTCTGTCTATTATCGGGATGAAATCGGAAACATCTCATCATCACATTTACGTACAGATTACCGTAAGGTATTGTCCTAATTATCTAGTTATGTACTTGCATCGTGATGGAACCATGGTTATATTTTGATCAAAGTAGAGATATTGGGATACTGCAAACTGAGAAAAAATGGTGCTCGGTGTTATTTTTATGGACTACAGTTTTCATCTTCCTATGTGCTGACTCAACACGTTTTAAACAGTCAGAACTTGAAATCGAACCACGGTATCCTTTATTTGGAGGTTGGAAGGCTACTTTTGTCATTGGATATGGGCTACCACTGGAGGACTTCCTTTTTGAGTCTCCAGATGGCAAGCGTTACCTCAACTTCAGCTTTGGATGTCCTCTTGCCGAGAGTGTCGTGAACAAGTTGACCATCAAAGTGGGTTTGCTTCTATTAATCATTTGCATTCATGATGCAGTTGTCTGATGTTTGTCCATTTGTTGCTTTAGTCATATTCTGCTCATGCTAAAGCCAGAAGATGTTTTATTTCAGGTTGTGCTGCCAGAGGGATCAAAAGAACCTTCAGCTGTTGTTCCTTTTCCAGTGGAGCAGCGTCTAGAGGTACTAATCCCAGCACAACCCAAAAAAGTACCTTTGAGTTTAACAAGTGTATAGGTATATCATTAACATATTTCATTTTTATGTGCTATGAGGCTCTAAACAATAACAAGAAAATTGTTTAATTTTAGTATAAAAAATTTGAATGATTAGCTTCCCTTTATAAGAAATACTCAATCTTTAAAAGTGAGCTTGATGCTCTGCATTGTTGCAACATAAAGGCACTGATTGTATGTGTTTATATTTTTGGAAATTTGTTCGCTGTGGACTGAGATGTCTTCTATATTTGGATTTTGTGCAGACCAAATATTCCTACCTTGATGTTGTTGGGAGGACTGTGCTGGTTCTGGAAAAGAAAAATGTGGTTCCTGAGCACATAACTCCTTTCCAGGTGATTTGTAATCCCCTTAAACTTCTGTGTGTTACTGCCCTTTTATCTCCATTTTGATTTTCCTAATTATCAAATGAAGGTTCAAAATATCAAGTTTTTGATTGGCAATTAAACTCCAGTCGAAGGACTAGATTTAGGCAGTTCTAGATCCAATCATTTCGTTTATTTATGGAAGTCAATTTTGGGCATGAAAAGAACTAATTGTTAGAGTATTGTGCCGGATACAAACTGCGCCAACTCTCCTACAATACTATGTGCCTCTGCAAGGCAGTAGGTTGAGTTAGTTTTCTAGGCAAGTTTCATGGTTCCTGCAAAAATAAGAATTTGAATTTGACTAGTTAATAATTTGTAAACTGTACATTATATGCTACAGGATAGTACTGTATATTTCAACTTATAAGGATTTTTGTACTTTGCCCAAATTGGTTATTGGTCATTTAGAGTCGTGGAAGCTCTCTTTGGTGGTATGAAATTTGGGATTTGAAATGCTTGGCTGACTTTATCAAAATTAGTAATATTCCTGTGACTTGTATGATTCTTCTGTTATGTTCTACGACAATATTCAATATGTCAATTTTGATTTTCTCATACAAAATCCCCCTTGGATTCCCCTATTTAACAATATTTAGTAACATTTGCCTTGTGCTTGCAGGTTTATTACTCGTTCAAACCTATATTCATGCTAGCAGAACCGTTGATGTTGGCATCTGTATTTTTCCTGTTTTTCATGGCTTGTGTAGCTTATCTACACATTGATCTTTCCATACGCAAGTGAAAATGCTCCAGAGGCCAGATTCTGCAACTTGGTAGTGATATATGTACCAGTTTTTGACATTGATATGCTCATTTTGCCATCCTTGTCTGAGGAGGGTGACAGCTTTACTTGTTTAATCATGAGGAACTGAGCAGGTCAGAATCTGGGACCCATCAGGAACCATTTTGGGCCCCTTATAAGACTTTTTAGATTTTCTGCTGTGAAAATAGCTCTGAACTTGAAAATTTTCTTGTTAAAGTAGCAGGATTTAGCTTTCACTTCACCCTTCTGGGGGCGTTGAACGGTGTTTCTTCATTCATGAAATATAAAGATTAAGTTAGTTTGACAGGGAGGCAACCGATTTCTGTGTTTTTTTTCTCTAAAAATCAAGTACGGGTGGGAATTGGGATTTGGGCTAGAAACTTGATATTATCATTTTGCTACGTGATAGGCAATCATTTGGTGACATCAACTAGAGGTGCCATAAACATGTTTTTTACGCAACTATAACCAAGTCCCAATATAGTAATACCCAAGTATGGAGCTTGCCTTTATCTATTCGATTCAATTTTCATTTTTCTTTCTCAATCTTCTGTGAGACAACCGGCTCAAATCAATGAAGTTACAGCCTTGCGGGGAAGTGGAAGCCATAATCCTTTTCAGGGCTAGCCAATGTTCCCATACTTGAGCTGAAACATGCACAATTACATCTGGAATTGTTGAAAGTTTACTTGTAGTATCTTTGCATCTTCTCCTAAAATATGCTGTCTTATTCGAATCGTGTCAAAACACCTACAAGCAGGTCAACTAGTGAGTGAAATTGGGTTGGTGTCAGAATCTTTTCCGAGTAATAGATAAGGAAATTGATGGGATGACAAGAACTTAAAGTACGGCCTAGACCTAGACGACTCTGGTGAACAAGGATTGGGGCCAGTAAAGAGAGCCGTAAGGGGCACTTTGAGTTTGAGAGGTAGGTAGCTAAGAGCAACAAAATGAAACACAGATTTCCTCTTGTATTTGCTTCTGTAACTCTTCCTACGCCAAACTCTTCATGGGTCTTTCAAACCAGAAAATATTTTGTAGCAAATGAAAACGTATCTTAATTAGCTTCATCTCTTCTTTCTTCAATCTGACAAGAAAACAGATTGTGCCGTTCCATACTTCAAACTGTTGTCTTTATCATCACCAGCAAACGTTTGAGGGAGATAGGGAGGGAAGGAAAGAGGTTAGGCAATGAGCGGACAACATCATAAAAAAAAGGAAATGATGTTTTTGAGGTAAAGCTAATTGATGGATTAGGTTAGGAAATCAAGCTAGCAGATGTAGTCGTGAAGTTTAAGAAACCATAATCAATTAGCAACTCATCGAGCTTAAGATTCTGACTACATTTCTTCTAATGACCTATAACTCTTTCATCCTTTAATATCTTAATTTCAAGAATGGTTGAGAAATGCCATTGTGCTTTGGACGGAGACGAGTTTGGCATAATCTGAAGATGATAAGATTCCCCTATGGCTCAGAGGCTATTAGCTTGTAAAGACTTTGTTCAAATGGTAAATGAATTTGCTTTCTATATTATTATTTAAAATTCAAATCGTAAAAAAAATATCGTAAATACAATAATGTTTTAGATTTAGACAGATAATACTTTTAAAAAAAATAATAATTTTGATACATAAAACGCGAAACATCACCCAATAATAAAATGCAACTTAATTAAAAAGCCGCATCCAACTATATGCGTGCAAAGGGTTGACAATGAAGATGAAATGAATGCAAAAGTGATCTAATATATTAAACGGTTTGAAGCTATAAAGCATAGGAATTGACCCCGTTTCTTAAGCAGTTGTACTTACGCAATTATCCTTCAAAACTAAAGAAAATATAAGTTTATTAATCGGCTATGTAGATAAATAATTTAATTTGTTTTTACATAATACATCGAGTCTCTAGTATATTTTTAAATTTTTAATTACATATTATCTATCATTGAATTTTTTAAAAATGTTTAATCTTTTTTTTTATTAATTTTTTCAATAATAAATAAATTATTTAACCGAAATATTTTTTATTAAAATTATAAAAGAAACACTTAAAATCACATGTTTAATTTTCAAAACTTTAGTTTTTTTTTTCACTTAAAAGTATTTCGATCAAAAAGATTTCTTATAGTCGGAAAATTAATGGAAGAAATAGATTATATATTTTTTCAAAAAAATTGAGACAAATAAGATGAAACTTAAAACTCGAAATATTGTATAAAAATAAGTTGAGTTATGGAAGAGGGAAAAAAAAAAAAAAAACCATTTTTCGGAACTTGATCTCAGCACAGCTTTTGACACGACCTAAGGGGGACCATAAATTTAACCTATGGACCAACCTTGGAGTTGTCACAAGCAGTTTGACTCCCTGACTCAGTTGACATAATTTGTAGTAATTATAAATAAATAAGTAGATGGTCAAAACTTATGCTGAGAATTGGCATTGTGACGGTGAACGTACCTTTTGTTTTTAGGCAACGGGGGAGAGATGGTATTTTGTTTGACATGGAATAAGTTAAGAAGAGAAAAGACAGAGAGGCAGTACTTAGATTTTTGGAAATTTTTGGAAGGACTAAGGAATCAAAGGACTGGTCACCATCCACTTGGATGACTCCACAACCTAAACATCTTATTTTAAGGTAAAAAGAAGACAGTATCTTCTTTCTGTGGGCCAACCTAACCATGGCAGTTATGTTTCTTTTCTGACCAACCAATAAAAGTAAAAAAAAAAAGCTCATTTTAAAAAAAATAAATTTACAAAAATATAAGGTAATTATTTATCATTAATAATAATAATAATAATAATCATGATTAGTTACAAAAACAATAACTAATTGGTAATTAGCTACAACTCATTTCTTCATTCTAGTGCAAGTCTACCCTCTCCTGTGTGTCTTCAAAGGGTGTCTGTCTCCCATTCATCTCTGCAATTTGAACCTTGAAGCAAAAATGATACATCATGCGTACCTGATTTTACCATACTGCCCTTTCTCGCACTCCACAATCATACTTATTTGAACAAGAAATAATTAAAATCATGATCATTGTTTGCTTGTTATAGAAACAGTATCCAAAACCTATCAGATTTTATCTCAAAAGAAGGAATATGTTTTCGGCTCATTAAGTCTCAAATCATTTTGTTTCATGTCTAATGACAAATACAATCTAAATAAAAATAGATAATTTAACATATTAAATATTAGAAATTAAATATTTAGAATAGTATACGACGCGATTTATCTCGAAAAGGTAATTGTTATTTTCTTTTTATCTAACTAATTTTTTTATTTATTTCTCAATAGACTGGTTATTTAAAATTTCTAATTGTCTGGCTTTTTTTTTTCTATCTTTGGACATATGAACGGAGAGCTATTATAACAAGAAATTCACGAGCTAGCGACTGTCTTTTGCCATTGACAGGCTAAAAGTCCAGAAATCATTACAGGAAGACATGCTATGTCTATAAAACCAAATGCAACATAATACTAACAGCAACAAAGCCATATCACAATGCAGCTTGAAGTTTAGCAAAATGTTGAACATAAAATAATAATTTTTTATTCATTTCATAATATTTATATCAATAATTTTTTTTAATAATAGATCTATTAAATAAGTATCAATGGTTTGGAAGCAATGCTACAAAAAACGAAAATAGGAGTACAGAAAAGATACAAACTGTTACAATGGCAGAGTTTTAATTTTGCATAAATTTTTTGGTTTCTTATTTTTTAAGTCTATTCTGCACATCACATCAATTTAAAAAAAAATTATTTTAGATGAATATTTAGAAAATAAGTAAAAATTTTATTCTAAAATAATAAAAATCAACATGCGAAGTTTTGACTTCAGAAGTGAAAAAAAGTAAAGGGCGATATGGTAATTTCAAAATTTCAATAAATTGGTTAAAGAAACTCTGTCACCCCAAAATTAGTTATTTGAAAAGTGTAAAATGGTAAGAGAACCTTGAAAGGGAACAGGAAAAGGGTCAGAAAGGAGGAATTCTCTGAAAGATTTGTAAGAGACTGACGGTTTGATTCTCTGATTCCCTTAGGTGGGATCAGAGGATCAATATCGTATATTTTTATACACATATATAAAAATCTCTACTCGTAGAAGAGTTGCACGTATCCTTGTACAAGATTTTTATATAGCAATCTTTGCTATGTAGCACAAAAACTTGAAAAAAAGATAGCACGAAGCATCGTTCAGAAGGTTTTTGAAAGGTGTTTTAACGTTTTCGTGCGGTTTGCTGAGATGGGTGTTTCTCAAAATGATGGCAAAATGGAAGGGTGGTTGTATATCATCAGGTCCCATAGGTTTGGTTTACAGTTTTCACGCAAAAGGTATTTCGTTCTTCAAGAAAACTACCTCAAATGCTACAAGACAATACCCATTTCACAGGAAGAGGTAACTTCTGTCTTCTGTTTTGTTTTTCTGTTCTGTTCATTCATTTGAATTTTGATCAACTCACAATGTAAAAGGATATAGGAAGATGATGTTTCTTTGATATATATTTCTTCTTATTTTCCAGCTTTTATTTTTTATTTTGCTTGGAACGAATGGGAATTGGATTAGGTTGAGAAAAGTTATGAACGTGCTGGTGCTTGAATTCGGGCCCTTCTTTTTCTCAAGCAGAATCTGTTTTGTGTTTTGGAAGTGAGGGGTTTTGGAGTTGTCTATGTAGATGTTTGGTTATATTATTGATTTGTGTGCTTGTATGATTCTTGGACTTTTATAATCTAAATTGTCCCTGAAAATGGATTCTTCCTTGTCTGAAGTTTTTATCTATTGGCGTGCATTCATGATTTTGCTTTCGGTATCAAGTATTTCAGAATCTATCAACTTTACCATTGGTTCCTCAATATGATTTATCTTTCTTGCAAAAAATTAGAAAAAAGAAAGGGTGAGAAAGTGAGAGGTTTTCAAAGTGGTTTATTATATTAAATCAATGCTGGTGTGTGAAGCATATCTTTATGAAAATGTTATACCTTGCTGGGAATGGAAGAATGACACTTTTTTAGATTTGATTTCCCACATTAAATGTTTGCACTGCTAACGAGCTAGAGGCGGCAGCATACCAAATATGCAGGGTGTTGAGTTGAATCATAACTTATTTATTGACTTCAATTTAAATCAGGACAAGTATCTTGAAAGTTTTACTGATGGGAGAATCATCTGTAAAATGATAGCTTCAACTTTGATTAGTGATAGGATAAGATTAAAAGAACATTATTATGATGAAGCCAATAACTATGAGAAGTTCTCCTACGAGAATCTGAGATGATTATGATATGATAGTAATCTGCTAAGGATATGTTGCCGCCTGTGCAATTATGTTGGAGCAGCAATTCGTGGTTTAAAATAGGTCTCCATGCTGAAAACCTATAGTTTTGCAAGGAAAATAAATGACGTTATATACTTCCATTTTTAACATCTTTTACCAGCTTTATCTATAGGATGCTGCACTGCTGCTGGTTGCTTTTGCAATTGCAATCAGATAATTTGATTGTCTATGTTAGTAAGGCAAAAAGGCTAATTGAAACTTCATATTTCAGGAGCCACTTAGAAGTGCAAAAATAGACTCCTATATTCGCATTACAGATAATGGAAGAGAGAGCATCAATCGGAAAGTATGCCTTTTGTTTTCATAATTTCTATTTTTTAATCCTTGATGAATGAAATTCTTCATGGCCCTGCAAGGAACAGGTTTTTTCCAGCACAAGTAATTGTTTGCAACTTGCAGGTCTTCTTCATTTTCACACTTAACAATTCTTTAAACGACAATGATCATCTTAAGGTGCAGTAAATTCCATGCGATCTCATTCTGTTTGGTTTATAAATTTGTGTAACGCAAGCTCTAATGGTCACATATTTTATAGGCGGGAGCAAGTAGTTCAGAAGATGCAGGAAGATGGATTCGTTCCTTGCAGAATGCTGTGTTGAAGGTTTAAAACCGTTAACTTGCAATGAACTATTTCTATAGCTTTTCTGGTGACAAAAACCTCACCTATTATTATGTTTTCCAGGAGTGCCCAAATCCAGAAAAGGAATTTATGTCTTTTTCTAAGACGAAGTGGCCTCCTTCAAGGTATGTCAGGCTCTTTCACGATAGAAGTTCATGAAACTGAACCTTCTCATTTGATTTTGTTATGTTCTTATTTTGTATTTTCCAATTTTGCATCTCTATTTCTTCCAAACTTTAACAAATACTATTCTTCAATGCTTACTGATCATCTAAGAATAGAGCATCATAATACTTTCGTGGTTTGATTCTTGAAATGTAATTACTATGAATTCCACCATTTGAAGGATTGTGACACCCCCAATGTACACTCCTCTGTCTTAATCATTTGGGATTCATATTAAGCTTAATGTTTGAAGTAGCAATGCAAATAAGCATCCTCTTTAGTTAGGTATAAAGTGCTAACCTGCTTTGTGTCATTCTTTACTAGAAGCTCTAGATTTCTTTCCACTTAAATAATCCAATTTTGTTTTAACAGATTTGGCAATTCAAAGAGGGCTGGCTGTAAAAGAGCTATAGATTATTACTCCTTCTTGCACAATGAAGCAGTGACATCTGACGTAATTGCACCATCACCATGGAAAATTTTTGGTTGTCAGAATGGTAAGACTTAAGTTTGTAACCTAATATTCGAGGGCTACTGCTTATATGCTTAAAACTTGCGGTAAATTCAGGATTGCGTCTCTTCAAAGAAGCAAAAGATTGGGATTCTCGTGGGAGGGTAAGTTGCGTCCTTTCATAACTTGCTGGTTATGAATAGCTGCATTTCACTTCTTTAGCTAAAGGTGTTGTTTTATCTCAGCATTGGGATAATGATCCAGCTATAATGGCAGTTGGTGTGGTTGATGGGACTCCAGAAGCTATTTTCCGTATTCTTATGTCTCTTGGTGCCTCTCGATCAGAGTAAGTTTGCTGGAATGTTTCCTCTTATCTTCTTAAAACCGGAACCGGAAGCATAGTTTGTTACAATTTTCACCCTGAATGTTTAAGATGTGCATGTAAAAGACTTGTCTATGTACCTGGTAAAGTCGGAAGGCGATGAGGCTTTCCATTATAGCCATATTGATAATACTTGCCTTGATTTCAAAGACAAGTTCTAAAAGAAAATTAGGTGACTTCTTATTGTGACTTTCATGAGAATATCTTCTGCGTATGGTTTTATGAGCTCGGAGACAAACTTTATAGCCTTCAAAGTTCTGGGCTTCTGAGTGAACATAGTTATGATTCTTAAATTACATGTACCACTTCCATTTGTCAACTCTTGTCCATTATTTTAAGATCAGAAGAACATTTAATTTAATTTCTTGCATGAAACTTTTTTTTTTTTCAGATTATGTACTCTTTTGTATTTTAGAAGCTGAATTACCATCTGTCTTGCAGATGGGACTTCTGTTTTTACCGAGGCAGTGTGATTGAGCACCTTGATGGTCACACAGATATTATTCACACTAAGTTATACAGCAATTGGCTACCCTGGTTCGATAAAGACCTTCTGTGAAAGGTAACTTACTTGTAATATGTGTTCCCAATGACTCATATAACTTTTTCGCAGGGGGATGAGGCGGAGAGATTTGTTATTGCGACGATTTTGGAGAAGAGAGGAAGATGGAACATATGGTAATATTTCATAATTTGTATGGAAAAGTGCGTACAATATCGAGAAGGCATATGGTGTCCACAGGCCGCAGCGTTAATTATTTGACCCTAACATTTTATCTGGTTTTTTCACAGTAATTCTATACCATTCTGTGATTCACAAGAAGTGTCCTCCACAAAAAGGATATGCTCGAGCTTGTCTTAAAAGTAATGTATGCTTTGCTTTTGGAAATTTAAAGCGTTAGTTTACTTCGTAATGCTGCCAATTGAGCGAACCATGAATGAGAAAAACAAGAATTTCAATTCTTCGGGAATGTTCATTTGCTTCTCTCACTATTCTCCTCTGGTGCTTCCAATGATCATATAAAGTAAAGATTAATTTGAGGCTAACTAACTTAGAACACGTATGGCTGTTGATGTGAGGCTTTTGTGCATGGTGATGCTTACTTATTTGCTACACTCCCATTGTATTCTATATCTATTTTTCCTGTTTATCTGTGAGCATCAGTTTCGTTATGTTGGATTTTTATCCTTCATGCCATACCTGTCCTTTACTGTGTATTATTTTCTGACAAACCTGCAGGTGGAGGATATGTAATAACCCCAGTAAATCAAGGAAGGGAATCACTTGTAAAGCACATGCTTGCAATTGATTGGAAGTTTTGGAAAGTATCTTTGCGTCCGCCATCTGCAAGATCTATAACCATCCGTATGCTTGAAAGACTTGCAGGTACCTTTTATTCTACTGATTAGGGAACTGCACTTGTGGTACCTTTTAGCTTATTCTGATGAAAGTTTACCTTCTTAAATCACTATCTCTGTTGTTGCTTTTTGCAGCATTGAGGGAGCTGTTCCGAGCTAAAGCCGGCAACTATCCATCTGACTTCTCTTCTGCAGTCTCGTCAGTAAAAACAATATTGCCCCAGGATGAAAAGGAGGATATTAAATCAGAAGATAAAGGCCAGCAGAAGTTCCAGCAGAATACTGATTTTAAGGAAGATGAGGCAGAAAAACCAAATTCAGGACGCCGAAGTTTAATGAGCCTGAATGATGCCTCTGATGAATTCTTTGATGTTCCTGATTCCAGTGAAGGGGTAGATTTTGACATTTTGGAGAATGGCTGGTTTCCTGAAGAGAGTCAAGAACTGTCTGCGACGGTAGTAACTAATCTCCATTATTGAATTTATGCTTCCCAAAACGTAGTTTAACCAGACTTAAAGACACTTATCACGAACTTCAGATGCTGTAGTTAATACTTGCTTAGATTTTTCTTCTCTGTATATGTTAGAGATGAATTGCGATCAAGAACTGAAACCTTTTGTTTTCTGACTTTTTTGGCATTCAAATGTGCAGAATATATCCCAGCCCAGATTATCATCTGCTGCTGTCTTTGTGAAGAAGTTACATGACCTTGCAGGTTAGTCCTGTTGTGGTAGCCAAAGTTTTCAATTTAAAATGACTTGTGAATGGATTATTGAATTGTTGATTAACTGTGTTCTGATAAAAAAAAATCCTCAAAACTTGTCTGCTGCAGTTCAGAAGAAGGGTTATATGGACTTTCAAGAGTTGGCTAAAGATGAACACGTAGCAACATCCTACGGAAATACTCTTCAAAAGGACTCAGCCTGTTCTTTACCTTGCAGTTGGGCTGCTGCTGATCCTACAAGCTTTTTGATTCGTGGAGAAAATTATTTAAAAGACAATCAGAAGGTGTTCCTTAAATTCTAGCTAATTCAGACCAAAGCATTCATTAAGAGCTTCCACCATTCTTCCAAATTTATGCTTAAGGGTTCTATTTTCTCCAGATCAAGGCAAAAAGTACGTTAATGCAAATGGTTGGTGCCGATTGGCTAAGATCCAACAACCGAGAAGATGATCTTGGAAGCCGTCCTGAGAGTATTGTTCAGGTATGATAACAACCATCTCTATAAACTGTGTGCATCTATCTTCCTAAAATAAAAAACCATGACCAACTATAGAAACGCAATTCTTCTCATTGAAGCAATTGTTATTGGATTCATGCAGGAGTATGCAGCACAAGGTCGACCAGAATTCTTCTTCATTGTCAATATACAGGTTAATTTAAGTTAAATTAATCATTCTTGTTGCTGTAAATGGTCATAATGATTCCTCCCCATCATCAAGAAACAGATTATGTGACATTCGAACATGAATCAGGTTCCCGGCACAACCCAGTATACCCTTGCACTATATTATATGTTAAAAACTCCTTTGGAAGGAACTCCCTTGCTACACAGCTTTGTCAACGGTGATGACGCCTTTAGGAATTCGAGATTTAAGCTCATACCTTATATTTCTAAGGTAATTAACAAATTTTGAATTAGTTGGATTCATAGCATATCACGCAAATGGTCATGCCACCTACATTTTTTTTGCATTTGCTTGTGAATTCTCAGGGGTCATGGATAGTCAAGCAGAGTGTTGGTAAGAAAGCTTGCTTAGTTGGTCAAGCACTTGAAATACATTATTCTCACGGAAAGAACTACTTGGAGGTAGATTACAAATAAAGTTTTCTGTATCGAAAATTTTCAGGTTGACAGTGTCATGTTGCGATATGCTAACCTTTAGAGTGTGATTTCAGCTTGACATTGATGTCGGATCTTCCACTGTTGCCAGAGGAGTGGTCAGTCTTGTTCTTGGATACCTGAACAATCTGGTCATAGAAATGGCATTTGTCATTCAGGTGACACATGTTAATCTCTCTACAGCTGCATTTATGCCTGATTCGTGAAGTTTTAAGTGATTTTCAGAAAATTTGCTAATGTTAAGATTAAGACCATGACAGCAGGAGCATTGGATTGTTTTTGGTTACTTCATGGAACAAAAGCATTAACAGTACTTGCTGTCTCAAAAACTTGTGTAGGGCAACACTGAGGAGGAGCTCCCGGAAGTCCTTCTCGGAACTTGTCGACTCAATAACCTGGACGCATCCAAATCTGTCCCTTTATAACCATATGATTATGACCTACTAATTTTTTGTCTCGCATTTGTATGTAAGAATGTTGAAGCTGGATAAGAAAGGCAGAAGGGAAAAAGTGGCAAGAAAGGTGCTTCTACACTCCCTTTTTTGTTTTATTCATTTACTAAAAAGTCAAAACTCAAGTGACAACAATTATTAATTTCGTCAATGATTCTTTCTTAGAGCAATTTATTTTGTGTGTGTGTGTGCATGATGATTACATAGCCAAAACATTATTCTACAATCCAATATGCTAATTGAACTATTATTCTGTAAACTATATATTTTTTTAAGTGCTTTATTTTTCATATTATATTTTCTGAGCAATGAATGTCTATAATTTAGCCAGATATTAATCAAGATGGATGATTGTGAGTAACTTCTGCAGCCTATCACTGGTAGGGTTTATTTTCCACCTTTTTGGGAGAATAATTTTAAATTAGTCCCTCTATTTTTTAAAAATGAATTAATTAGTCCACTAGTTTCAAAAATAAATTGTTTAGTCCCTTAACTTAATGTTAATTTATTTCAAAATATGACATCTTTCGTCGTCAATCCTTCCATTACTTTTTTCTCTATTTCTTAAAACAAAAAATCAAAATAATTGAAATTAAGTGAAATAATAAGTTATAAGAAAATTTGAAAATGTAGAGATCAAATAATTAATTTTTGAAAAAAAAGATTAATTTATTCATTTTTCAAAACTAGAGGAATTAATTTATAATTTACCTTTTTTTGGAACAAAAGAAATTAATTTTTATTTTCTCGGCATCACTAGCAGGAAATTTATGAAGCGAGGTCAGGAGGGTTAGAATACAAATTGGGCTTCGAGGCCAGTAAGACATGCCGGCACTAAACCCATAAAGATCTAGAATTGTCAGAAATCAAAGATACGAAGCTCGAGAACTAAAGAAGCCCACAATAGAAAACAATAACTCAACCAGGTTGGGCCGAGCTTAAGATCCATGGTGGTACTGTTTTCCATGGGCTTCGACCACAATACGAACATCACAATAAATGGGCCACAAAACTTAAAATGATGCAAGTTCATGTCGGCTTTTGGATTCTTTAGACTATGTTCCAAAAACAGACAAATTAAAAAATATATATATTTGTGAGGATGTCATGTTTCTATTAAATGGGATAGATACATTGCTTCCTCTTGTGATTGAATTTGTCTATCACTAATGTTTTTAAGAGGTGTGGGATGCCACTCCCCATTTGGCTATTTTTCGTCTAGCATTTCGAATGGATTTGTGCCTTGATGGGAAAACTCAACCATTTTCCGCCTTTACCCTAAATACCCTCACTAAACTAACCAAAATCACTTAACGTTTGGGCAAATTTGCCAGTTCGGCAGAACCCTCCGAAATGTGATTCTCAAACGTTGTCCCCACGTAGTAACATCAGATTTGATGCACCACATGGCATGTGGCTCCATTCAAAAATGTTTTATAATTTTATGTTTATTACTCTCTTTGTACAAAATAAATTGTTTTCTTTGAATTTAAACATAAATTAAAAATATTATTAATTTTTATGTAATATTAAAATATTTTTTATTTATTTTAAATATTTTTAAAAAAAATATTTGTTTAATAATTTTTTATAAAATAAATTTTAATTAAAGCGTTTTAAAAAAATATATCTCTTCAAATTTTGAAATATGAACCGATTCCATTCCGATAATTTTTTTTTATAATTTTCAAATTATTTTTACATACCTAATACTTCCATAATATTCTAAATGAATTATGAAATATGAACCGATATACTTTTGATAATTTTTCTTTTCGTTATTACCATAAAATTGGAACCTTAATGCCTTATACCATTCTTTCTCTAAGAAAAAAATAAAAATCTCACATGTTACCATCACATTCAATATCGTCCCTGTTCGCGGCGCCTAAAACGGATGTTGACCCAAAATATATAATCATTATTCTCTGCCTCACGAACAAGATATTATTTTTCATGACTATAATAAACATGCAACCACGTGGCACCGTCAGATGATGCTTTCTACATCTTCTCTGCATCCCAGCATAATTGTTACATGACAGCATGTCGTCTGGTCTGCAAACTATTGCACGTTATGCTAGTATTTTTCTATAGGATTCCTTGGTATATTTTTAAATAACGACAATTCTGCCTAATAGCTAGTGAATCATCTGCAAGATGTACGAAAATTCTATCCCTATTTCGTATTTTGTCAATGCTGAATTTGGTTCGAGCCTTTTGTCTTGAAGACTTTGAGCGTTCAAAATTTGGAGATTTTTGCAACATTCGTTGAAGAGTTGCTGTCATGTGATGGGGCATCACTTACGATTTGAATTTGAATGTGGTTGTAGTTGTAAGAATATTTTGTAAATACATGTTTTTATCCCTTTTAAGTTAAATGAGTTTTGAAAGTTTAAGAACTTCATTTTAATTGTAACTTCTAATTTAGGGGTTTTAAATGATGTTTGGAATAGTTTTTAGAATTTCATCAAATATTTTTTAGATTGGTTTTTTAAAAAGTTTTTTGAAATATTCTATATTATTTTAGTTATCTGAAATTTATCATTTTTACTGTAAAAAAGTTTGAATTGAAGTTTCTTGTCTAAAAAAATGATATAAAGTAATATGTTAGGATGCGAATTTTATAAGTTTGAATTATAAAACAAACAAATTTAATTTCATACACGTACCTAAATTTAAGTAGTTTAATAAACTACAGGACGGTTAAAAAAATATTAAAAAAAATATACACATTAATGAAAGTATTTAAATAAAATAACCGAGAGTTACATGTATTTTTGTGACTATTGATTTTTAATGCATTTATTTATAAGAGGCATTATTCAGTATATACCAGACTGTATTCTGCCATTAAAAAAAAAATTTAAGAGATTCATAAATTATTTTTCCTGTGAGTTTTATGTTTTGATGAGAAAGCGGAAAACAACTATTAATTTCTCTAATTGTAATTATTTACTGTTAGGTTGTCATGTTCTTCTCCGGTCAACTTTTAATTCAATACTAATTTTATCCTCAGCTAGACTTTAGACAGACCATCTCTATTTAAATTGATATATTTACAGAAAACTGTTTTTTTTAAAAAAAAAATGAATTCAAACTCTTCAACGAGAGGTAAATTTGCTTGTCTCTAGACATAACAGCTTTGAAATTATTTGAAGTGTATTGTTCAACAATACCAGTAAATTTATGTTAGAAAAATAACCTATGGAACCAATTAAAAAAAAATCAATGCAATATTTCTCGGAGAAGAACCAATTTAAATGTCAAACGGTCGAAAATCGGGGAAGCGACGGAAAATTACGAGTAAATTTATGTTAGAAAAATAACCTATGGAACCAATTAAAAAAAAAATCAATGCAATATTTCTCGCAGAAGAACCAATTTAAATGTCAAACGCACAGAGCCTCGCTGTTCTAACACCACAAGAGTCAAAATTAAACACCACCGACGCGTTAAATTGCGTCATGGATTTTGTGTGTCCATCAGTACCCTTCCTTAACCGGTTAACACTTATCTTGCCAGACTTCATCCCGGTGACACTGTCGGTGACATTTAGTGTCGGCACCGACACGCCAGATTCATAACCGGAAGACAACGCTTGTTTTTTTTTTTTTTTTTAACCGTGCACCGTGCAGTCTTTATTAGAAGCCACTTAAATTGTAGGGGTTTTATAGGAATTTCAAGGGCAAGGAGAGGAACTGTGTGTTGTGGGATTGTGGAACAGTATGCATCAAAGACGGTTTGATCGATTAAATGCTTTTGATTGGGTGATTTGTGGGACCAGGCAGTGCTCTCATATCCGTAACTTTGATCACAAGTGCACGTGACTTGCTTCCAACTGCTGACAAAGGCAATGCAAAGGAAGGTGTACCTACAAGATCTTGACGCCCCAACCCATGTTAAGTATCTGTACCACATTTATTTTAAGGATTTGTAAGAATAATTTTGATTATGAAAAGCTGCTTGAATCTTTAGAGATATTTTCTTTTTAATTAACAGAGAAAATTCCATTCCTATTATTTTAAAGATCCAGATATTATTGGGCTAGTTTTGTGTAGCGAAACCAAATCCTTTTTCTTGAATATATATAAATGACATGGGGTAATTAGAATCTGTTCTTGTCTTTTATACCTAGTCTACAAGTTAATTTTATAAATTTAACTGCTCATTATTAGATAATAATACAAATCATATTTTAAAGTTTCATATAATAATTTAAATTTTCGAGTGAGAAGATCATTTAACATAATATCAAAGATTTATTAACCTAATATTCAAGAGTTCTCGTCCTTCAATTCTAATTTCTCTTCTAACTAATTAAGCACAAGATACTTTTAATTTTTTTTTCTTAATAAATTAAGTTTGATTGGAGTTTCTCACTAAAATATAGTTTCATCAATTTTGATAAAAATATTTAATAAAATAACAGATTGAAAATTAATTTTATATTCAAAGATAAATTAAATTTATAAGGACAGATAGAAGATGATGTATAAAATACAAGAACAAATTAAGTTAACTTTCCCACATCTCCTGCTTCGAGTACTCGAAATTAATGGATGACAAACGATATTCATGTCCAATTATTGATCGTACAATGAGTGCTTTGTACAATTCTGATAAATATATCAGTTGATCTTGCTCATGGACTCCATTTTTGCGACACATATAGCAATTTAAATTCCAATAAACCTCTGTCGAAAGATGTTGAAAATTAATCAAGAAGAAGGGGAGGGGAAAAAAAAGGAACGACCAGGTATAACATTTGTTAAACTCCATAAGGTTCTACTACAAAATACACGTTGAGCTTTTTTTCCTTCCTGGCACGTTACTTGTATCGAAAAATAAAACTTCCCCATATAAATTTCTCTTCATTGAATATCAAAGATCTTTAAAATAGTTATGAATGTTCATTGATTTTTCAGTTTAGTTTTTAGTTAATCGAATTTATAAAATTAAAAATTGAACCAAAATTGAATAATATAAACTTATAAAATTAATAATTCAGTTTTTCAGTTGAAAATTATAATTTTGATTTCAGTTTTTTCGGTTTAAACTAGTTTTTTTAAAAATATATATATAAAAACTTAAAAATATTATCAACCCATCATATATCTATAATAATGTCAAGATATTGAGTTTTTAATTTATTTTTATTATTTAAAATTTTAAAAATAAAAAATAAAATTTGGTTTTTGGTTTGAACCAAATTCAAAATCTAAAAAACCGAAACCAAACAAAAATAATTTTGGTTTGTTGTTTTTAAAATTTTTGAATTAAAAATTAATTCGAAATTAATATTTTTCGTTCATTCGGTTTTGGGTTTAAACCAAACAGTGAACACCTGATGATGGCTCAATTGCGATTTTAACAAGTACAACACAAATAGGCCAAACATTTCTCTTCCTTTGACAAGATTTGGTCCAATGACTTATTTATCCCTAAAAATACATAGGTACAGTAGCATGGAATAAATACGTGGGTCTTGTCTTTTCATTTTTGGAACTTCTGTTGCTTGTGTCCTTCGCAAAGAAACCATAGCCTTTTAGCAAACTTTGACAGCAATTCTACGACACTAGATTGGTCACTGGTCTTTGGAGTTTGGACCATACTCCATACATCACATGGCCCACACCACTCTTTAAGACCATAATTATCCCTAATTCTATTTTGTACGGCTGTGCTTTTGCGGGCCCCACATAACTCTTATCATGCCCCACTTTGTTCATCGTCAAGTAAACCATTCAAAAATTCTTGATCATAGGACGCCAGAAAGGAAATTAAAACAATTCCTCTAGGACACTTTCGTCTCGCAGAATCAGCCAGGACAGCGTGGTGACCAATGATTAGTCCAACTTGGAGAAACAATTTACTGCACAAATCCCGAGAAAGGCCACGTGAGACTCAGCATCAGAGGCACTATACTCCAGTTACGTTACGCTACACTACCCAGCTGGAACTGAGCAGGTTTTGATCCGCTGTGTGGAGCCCACTGTAAATCTGATGTTTTGCGCCTCCTATGATCAGCGCGTGGACTTTTATTTTGTTCCTCTATAATCTTTTGAACGTGCAAGCAGAGATGGCTCCCACCATGAACATGGCCTCTTACTTGCATGCACACACGATGCATGTGCCATCTCTCTCCGCTTATCTCGCCGGGCACAGCCACGTCACCTACTATTCCAACGAACTATCAATTGACCATAATACCTACTCACAAATGAAATAAAGTAGGAATACGAAAGGGTGATTTAGTCATATACGAAAACAGGAAGGTTACGACTTCATTTCCTTTATCAAACCCCCCATGTGTGTGCGTGACAACCAACATGTTAACACAAGAGGGATTAGTTTTTAATGACAGAGAAGGCCCATCTAGAAAATCATATTATAGAAGATTTGAGTGTTTGAATCACACAAATCTTAAAGAAATCAAGCGACATGAATCGACCAATTAAGATTATATTTAATTTGTATTTAAAAATTTTAAAACCACCATAGTCTTGCACAGTTTAGATCGATCAATAATTCAGAAATTCACAATAAACTTATACTATGCTTAATAGTCAAACATTTTACGTCCATGTCTAAAGGGATTTGTCATTAATCAACGCAGCAATGGCTCCAATTTGTTATGCACAATTTACCAGTATGACCCACGAGTACATTTGGATGGATCATTGTTGAATTTTCAATTTAATGCATGCTTTGCACAAAAGCATGTGCTATTTTCTGTTAGCTATTGTCGATGGTCAAGATTTTTCCTTACCGACACATGGATGATGGATTTTTGGATAGTTTACATCGATAAATGTTGAGATTTTTTTTACAAAGACAATACGATGTGAAATTGGACTGATGACTTTACTGTTATGGGATTAAGATGTATGGATAGCTTGGGAACAATTTTTGCGAGTTCATTTAAAATGCGTACATGTAGATGATGGAGTGTCAAGAAAAATGATATTAAATATAAATTATCGATAGAGTTAAAAAGTTTGATTTTTAAAATTGGTTAAAAACTAAATTTGATTTAAAAAATAAAAATTTATTATTAATTGATATAAAAATTTATCTAAAAATATTTTATTATTTGTAAATAAAAAAATGCAGAATGAAGAAATTGAGTGTTAGGTAAAATATCTGCGCGCATTATAGAGTGTTTGTATTTCGTCGGTGCCATTTATTTATTTTTATTTATTAATTGGTAATTTTCCTGTTCATGTGTTGACGGCCAGTGAAAACAAAATTCGACACTCATGAAGCATGATTCAAGTGTTCTTCAAACAGAAATTAACTATCTGTTATCTCGATGGCCTTCGCATCGATGGTAAAAATCTAGGAAATAGTCCTTTTGGAAGTTACTTGAAAATATTAATTTTTTTTTCTTCTTGACAATAATTTCCTCGGAATTGTTATGTTTTTGTTGGAAAGTTTGGAAATGCCAAGTGCTAGTTTTTTATTATTTAAATATATATATTTATATATATAATTCTAACTAGTTAGTTTAGTTTTTCTCTAATTCTTTCAATTAAATATTTAAAAATTTTGTTAGAGGTTCATTTTATAAACTATTTTTTCTTTTCATTCATTTTCAATGTAGGATGAAAATCCTAATTGAAAACATTTTCAAATTTTTTTCATAACACATTTCAATTTATCGTCTAACATTTTTAAGATTTCTAACAGTTTTTTTTATTCATATACTCACAAATTTGTTTTATAAGCATCTATATATGTAAATACAGTCTTGTCATATTTTAAGATTATTTCTCTCAATCCTTTTAAAAATCACGAGTCGTTCGATCACACAATCAATATAAGAATTATCAATGGATTTCACTAATTGAATTGCTTATATTTTTTGTATTTTGTTTTGTTTTTTTTTTTCTGTGTGAATTTCTAGCATTATTACTCAAAAAAATATTTTGGTTGACACAATTCTTCGGGTCCGGGACTTTTCTTTGTAGGAAGAAATAAAACGGAGGCAGGACGTTCATAGTTCTCCAAATAAGAAATTATCAGTGGCCAAAAAGAGATGTGTTTTCAGTTATATATACACAGCTAGAAAATTTTCATACAGCGAGTGCCCAAACGCTACATAAGAAAGGATTCGTCTAAATGACTGGAAGCAAGAGATAATGAATTCTACATGATTTAAAGAGGAAAATGCAGCTTAATTATCAAATTTTTGGTAATATATGTGATGGTATGATATCTTTTCTTGCATCGCTGTGATTTTTTATATATATATAATTCCTCTATAAATTCCAGACTTCTAATTAAAAAGAAAAGGAACGCAAGATGTAAAATTTATTTGTGCAGTCTATTATATATTAATTTCTATTTTAAAGTATTTTTGCCAAGATGCTATACATCAAAATGATAATGGATTTCTATGGATTTTTTTTTAATTGGAAGGACATGTTAAAATGGCATTGACATAGATTAACAAGGTAATTTTTTTTCCGTCAAAAAAGGCGTATCCTTTGAAACCAGAATGGATTTTTCTTAATATCTGACATAATGCATGAAAGGATCTTCAAGCAAGCATAATTTGTTACAAAAATATGATAATAAAAAACAAAAATAAGAATGAAATTAAGCATCATCATCACCAAAACTATTGTCGTCGTCGTCGTCGTCGTCATTATCATCATCACCATAACAACCACTATCACCTTTATTATTTTTACAATCATTATAAGCATGATAAAACTATTTTTTAATCATTATTTTTATTCGTATAAAAAATTAAATATTAAAAAATTTAAATTACATTAAGATTTCTCATCAGTATTCTAAATATAGTATGAGAATGCAAATATAATTCTGATTTTCTAATTTTTTTTCGATTCTTGTATTTTTATTTCAAACCTTTTATTCCTATTAATCAAACAATACTTAAATCTTTAATAAAGACTTCTACAAAATATTTTATTTTTTCATAGAAATATATTCGTTCTAGAAAAACTTGGAAAAATATCAATCGGAATCAAGGAATTGATTATGGAGGAAAAAAGATAAAAAGGACCTTGCATTCAAATACATGAGAATTATACAGGGACAAGAAAAATCTGTGTGTCATTACAGAAGAAGAAGACAATATAACCCTTTGGCCCTTTTTCATCCTCCTTTTTAGATAAACTTCTTGTTTCATGATGACAGTGCTCCATTTTCAGCAGTGCATGGAGCCTAACCTGTGACTGTCTTGAAATATAGTTAGGTTTTACCAAATTTACTTCTTTTTTTTTTCAAAGATAGAGAAGTCTTTTGGAAGGAAGCGATTCAAAGAGTGCAATCCAAGTTAGTTAGAAAAGAAAGTGACACAAAAGGATCCACGAGAACAATCCCCTTTCAAATAATATTGAATTCTTTTGTAGAGAAGGGAGTAGAGTATTTCTGAAGGGATTGATGGAAAGGGTAAACCTCAAGTTAGCTTAAAAAAAATAGTGAAAGGAGATAAGGGATTGTGTGAGGAAGCCCATCGTTTTGTATTAGGCTCAAATAAAACAAGTTTCTGCTCTGCAGTCACTTCTATTAACCTTACTTAATTTTAAAATCTCCCCTTCAATTATTATTAATTAAATCCCAAATTATTTCCTTTAATTGCTTCCAAAGCCTTTCCCATTTTTAGGACAACTGTGCTCCGCTAAAGGCACTGTTGCTTCAATCTGCCCTGTACCCCTACCCACTAAAAGAAAAGCAGAGGAAAAAAAATTCTTATTGTGCTGCTTAAATTTATAGTATAAAAGTCAGGATAAGCACTATTCAATTAAAATAAAATAAAATAACTAAATTAGTAATTTTAATTTGGTTTTGTATAAAAATTTTTAAAAAATAGAAATAAAAATTATTTCGGTTTGGTTTAATTTTTTTTTAAATTCATTTTTCACTCGAAAACCAAATTTGTGTTTTTTTTTTTTTACACACTCACAACCAAGGTTTATAGCATTTTCTTATATATATATTTTTAAAAAACTTCAATTCAAGCTATTAGCATTCCTTAAAAATAAAAATAAAAGACAAAAAAATGGTTTTTCAGCTTAATTCAAAATAAAATTCAGAAGAAAAGATGCAAAAAAAAAAAAAAAAAAAAAAAGAGGGTTTTTAATCAAAAACCAAAAACCCAAATCGAAAAATTTGGTTTTTTAACTCAAAAACCAAACCTCGGTTCAGTTTGATTTTAGTTTTTTAATCAATTCAATTAATTAAAAAAAAATAAAACCAAATGATTATTCTATATTAAAAGGAAAAAAAATCACTTCGCACCAATTTATTGTATAAAAGGTCAGTGGGATAAGTTCTTGGATGAATTCGAGAAGCATTGGCAGCATTTGAATGCTGGAATTAGCATACCAAGCGACTCATTCTTCGTGCTATTTTATTTTTGTCTGACGAGAATCAGATAACACATGCCAAAAATAAAATTTTCTAATAATTTTGCCTAATTTTGTGAGATCTGTTGTTATTTTCTTTTTCATGTCAATTCATGTAATGCATTATAAGCCGATGAATATCAGAGGTCGCTATCTATTTGCCTAATTTTACCTATATTTTTTCAATCACGGGAAAAAAAATTGCCAGAGATGAGTTACGAGGAGGATATTAACTTTTCATTTCAAACACAAAGGACAAACTAGGGGTTATCTTTATTATTAACTTTATTTGGACATTATTTTTTATTTTTTTATTTAAAAAAAAACTCAATTTGGACATTTGTTAGTTGGAAACGTCCTAATTTGTTGACTTATTATTATTTTTATTTATTCTTGCATTTATTGAAATTTAAAAAAATAAATAAAGATGACAAATAGTTTAAAAGTAGTGGAATGATTTTTTTCAATTTTTTTTACAATTTAAATAAATGTTTTATGTAATAAAAATAGAGAAAAAAATAACTAATAATGTTAACAATGTCAAATCACACGAATTGTTTGATTATGTAATTTATTTAATATCGTAAATGAAATAAAAAAAAACTCTCATAAAATGAATTGATTTAATTAACACTCGAGTCGGTACATAAACACCATTAACCATTTGCTTACATTACTGTACATTGTTAACCCATTGTATCTCTATGTAGAGGTAAGAAATTGTTGGTTTAGATAATTAGATTAGGATTTCTTTTGTTTGTTTTTGTTTTTTTTTCTGTTTTGGGACATAGAATTGGACGATTTGGTAGCTTAATGGAATCCAAACTGGCAAAGAAGCTGCATTTTGGCTATGCTTAATTGTTAAAAATAAACAATCTAAATTACCAAAACCGTGTGATAAACATATTGACCTTTCCTCAGTAGTTAAACATGCCAGTTAAAAATCACCAAACCCCATGTGAAATCAGATTTGACTTCGTTAGAAAGCACACCAAAACACGGTGCTACATAAATAACCAACGCGTAGGTTCTTGGATTTTTAAATTAGAAAACTACAAATCAGTCTCCACATATATAATAATTATCAAACGAGTATCCGATCTTGATCTTATTTCACATTTCTCCCCCATCTTCTTTTGTTTTTCATATTCATCCCCTGTCCGATTTCATTACAATAATGATATGAAAATTAGTTACCAACCTTCACTTATATAAATATGAATAAGAAAAGGCATAGATTGAAAATTTTATTTTGTTAATTCATAAAAAAAAACAATTTCTTGATTAACTTGATAAAATTAAAATATCGTGTTTAAACTAAAAATAGTTTTAATTTAACAATTTATTTTAATTACACGTGTAAAAAATATACTCGGATGTAAAGGAGCTAAAATTTTTGGTTAAAAAAAAAGTTAAAGTTAAGAAAAAATAAAGTAAATGTCACTGCTTATTTGTTAAATGAAAAAATAAAATGTTCTATATATACCTTTTTATAATTATTTTATTCATAAAGATGTATTTAATAAGTTCAATTGATGGTAAGAACCCTGATGGGGATGAATCTGTTAGACGAAAGAAATTACAAGGAGAAATCAGAAATATTTTAAAGATTGGATACTGATCCGTAGTTATCCCTTTTAAAATGCAGGAACTGGAAAGCCGACGTTTACAGTCCTTATCCATATTGGAGTTACAAAAAAAAATCTAATAAAAAAAGAATGTACATACAGCAGTTAAAAAACCTGACAACACCACAGGCTCTCTGTTCCTCTCAGCTTCAGGTTTTCTTATTGGGTATACAACGAAACCCAAGAAAAACCTAACTGATCATTAGCAAAACAAACAAAGCCGGAAAGAAAAAGCAATAATAAGTCAAAATAACAAACCAAAACCCATTTGTTTTCAAAAACCGACAGCTGCTTTTTTCTTTTAATTTTCTTTGCTTTATAAAAATATGAAAAAGTTAAAAAGTCTTCCGAATAATTGCTTTCCTGTTAATGAATAAATTGACTAAAAAATATTTATATCATACAATTAATTTTTTTTTTTTTTAACAAATTATGACCTTTTTTCTTTTTGGTAATTTGGAGAGAGGGACTTTTACGATTGAGCAAGATAGCTAATAACCACTAACACCCAGAATAGAATGGGTTGTCAGTTAAAATATTTCAAAAAATAAAAAATAGAAAAAAAGAAGAAAAAGGAAAAAGAGGGAAATTTTTTTTAAAAAGGGAGGTGCGGTGGGAGGTGGTGTGGGTGTGGGACCCGTGTGGGTAATAAGAAGAGAGAGAGAGAGAGAAAGGAAGAGAAGACTTCAACATCAAGACAGTGAGGGAGAAGAAGGATAGTAGTAAAAAATACAGCTAGCATGAAGGAGGAGGCTCACCTACCATAGTCCTTCTTCCCTTCCCTTTCATCACTTCCTACTACCACCATTAGTAGCACCCACCCTTCTCTTCTTTTCTTTTCCTTTTTATCCTTAATTTGTTATTCTCTCTCTCCATTTCAAAACTCATACATAAATCATACTTGATACTTTTCCCTCTCCGCTCTCCACCTCTTCCCTCTCCCTCTCTTCACTTCACTTCACTCCCACTGCTCTCTCTCTCTCTGTTTGGAAGGTAATGCGCTTCTCATTGGTTAATAGTTCTGCTATCTATTTGGGCTGTTTACTTTTGTTTTGTTAGAGAGAAAATGAGCATTTCTTTTGGGTTTTAAGTTGGTTTCGGTCTGCATTAATCGTTCAGTGCTTGATTGGGGTTTGGAAACTGTTTTTGAATGTGAATTTCAAGTGTCGGCAGGATTACATTCCTTGGCCTGCTTGGTTTTTTTTTTATTTTTTTAATGGAAATTCAGCTTTGTTTTGGGTTTTGGGAGTGAATTCGTTACTGGTTTGGCTCTGCATTTTTAGTGGTTTTGAGCATAATTAGTTTTTCTATTCTCCAAGTGGATTTTAAATTGTTTTTGAAACGTGAATTTCCAGTGTCAGCATGGTTTATTTCACTGAAATTACGTTTTTTAAAGGGTTAATTTAGATGAATGGCAACCATATTTGTTTCCCGAGAAACTGAAGGAAACAGAAGGAAAGGAAAATTTCGGAATTCAAGAAACTCACCACATTTTCCCTTTAAAGCCCAATTTCAGAGCCAAATTCGGTTTCCTTTTTTGCTTTCCTCAGTTTTTTTAACAATCAAATTAAGCATTAAATGAAGATAATTCTTTAAACAAATTCCCGAAATTCGAGTAGGTTATAATCAAGCATTAAATAAATAATTTTTAATATTTTGCAGGAATTTGAAAGCACAAACTTCCAATACTCGAATTACCAAGAATTCTCTTCCCTGCCTCCCCTCCCCTCCCCTCCATCCTCAAGGTAATGTTTCTTTCCCAAATTAGGTCCAAATATTACACTGCCAAAATTCCAAATAAGAAAAGTAAAGTAGGAATATTAGTTGTCTCTTTTTGACTTAAAACGTGTAGCATTTTTGCTAGAATACGCCACGCGAATTATACGCTGCTGCTGGGTATAGAATCCATAATTGATTGACAGATGGACAGAAAGCCAGAAATAAAAGAATTTATTTTTATTTTATTTCTTGAAACTTTTCAAAGACCCACAGAAAAAACGCCACAAACCTCTCCTAAATCCTAATTATTACGTTACTGCTATACATATACACATTACTGCTTATTATTAGTATCCCGTTTTGCCCATTATTATTTTTTCTTTTTATTTCTCACACAGAAGATAAAATTTTCCAGGAAAAAATTGGTTGAAGAGAAGACAAAATGATTGGACAACCAAATACTTCTAGTAATTTCATGGACGAGATAGATTGTGGAAGCTTCTTCGACCAAATCGACGACCTCCTCGACTTCCCTTCTGATGATGTCGACGCTTCTTTCCCTGACTGCACCACCACGAACAACCATGCCAGTTGTTTCTTTAATAACGATGATAACTCGTTTCCTGGTATTTGGTCGACTCAGTCCGACTCACTCCCCGGTTCTGCCTCTGACCTCTCCGCCGAGTTGTCCGTTCCGGTGAGTTGGTTTAATTAATTTTACACGCGGCAGTTTTCTCTAATTCGTTGTCTTTAATATTAGCCGTCGGATTTTGTGTTGGTGATGTCATTTTTTGTCCGTTATGATGTCTTTAATTGCCAGCCTAGCAATTCGCGTTAGAATTTGAAAGATGTTGGCGTTTAGGGGTGGTTTTGTAATTTAGAAGGACTGTCGGCGACAAGCTGGATTTTTTCGCTTTTAATTTGGCTCAGTTATGGAAGTCACGTGGGCTGTCATGTGATTTACTTAAAAAGTGAATTATTATCATGTGGAAGTTGTTACACCCTTTTAGGCCCACCAGAAAAGAATAAAGTGTTAACCCTTTTTTTTTTTTTTTTTTTTAAGGTTAATTGTGGGTTAAGCAATTGAGAGATTCAGGTTGTAACCACTAGTGGTTTGTGTAATTAATTTTGTTTTAATAAAAAAAAATCAGGTTCTTAAATAATTCTGAGTTGTAATTGACCAAATGTTTTAATAATTAGAACTAATTTAGGCAGTTTAGGCTTTAATTGGAAGCAATATTTGGTCACACAAAAATTGATGATTTTGAATTGGTAAACTTAATATGGGTTGGTTTAATTTTGTGTGTACAGATTAGAATTTATAATTTTTCAATTAAAATATGGGGTTTTGTGTTGCAGTATGAAGATATTGTTCAGCTGGAATGGCTATCAAACTTTGTGGAGGATTCCTTCTCTGGAGGAAGCCTGACGATGAAGAAAGAGGAGCCCACCTTGGTTAAAGATAAGGAATCGCCGCCACATCATCAGTTCCAGACTTCTAGTCCAGTTTCTGTTCTTGAGAGCAGCAGCTCCTGCTCAGGAGAGAAAACTGCATCGCGTAGCCCTGAAGTTGTTGCTTCTGGCAAACGTGGGCGTGCTCGCAGCAAGCGTCCTCGTCCTGCTACGTTCACTCCTCGTCCAGCAATGCAACTCATTTCGCCCACATCATCGATCACCGAGGGGCCCCAGCAATTTGTTTCGCCTAAGGTCCCTTTGGATTCTGAGAACTTTGCCGAGTCACGACTTGTGATCAAGATACCAAAGCATGTTGACTCAGAACATAAGAAGAAGAAGAAAATTAAGTTTACTGTTCCGTTAGGTCCTGTGGAGATGAACCAAAACACACCACCACAGCAAGCAGTTAGGAAATGCATGCATTGCGAGATAACCAAGACACCACAATGGAGAGCAGGGCCAATGGGACCAAAAACCCTTTGCAATGCTTGTGGTGTTCGCTACAAGTCAGGCCGGCTTTTCCCTGAGTATCGACCTGCAGCTAGTCCAACCTTTGTTCCTTCCTTGCACTCCAATTCTCATAAGAAAGTTGTTGAGATGAGAGCAAAGGCTGAGGACAACATTGCTGTCAGAAGTCCTGCTGCAATGATGGCCAAGTCGCCGGAGTTGATTCCAAATAAGGGCAACCCTGCAATGGATTACATGTGAGGGAGGATGTAGAGAACAGTGTTCCAGTTGGATCATTTCTCTTCGTTGGCTCTCTAGTGTCTCTCTCATGCCGTTCGCTTACTGTTATTTCATTTCTTTGTTCATTGGATTTTTGTACAGGGTTGGAATGGTGGGGAATAGAAGCACTAGATGACCACAATTTTAGCTAGTAGAGAAGCATTGTAAGAGAGAACTCAGAAAAGATTTAGTGCGTAATGGAAGTTTAAGGGATAGTAGAGTTTTAGGTTTAGCCAAGGGTAGGTTCTTAATTAAGGTAAGTAGGTATTGAGAGTCTGTGTTTGTTTCTCTTTTGCATTCTTTTCCCTTTTGTCCTTTGCAATGGGTATTCTTTTTGCAGTTCAATTTGTTAGTAAACAATTCTCAAAACCCGAGTAATGGATTTTGAGCACTTGTAATGCTTCATCAATCATCTACTTCCTTCTCCCAATCTGTTCAAATTTTTATATTCCACATTTCAGCCATGTTTCTCTGCTCGGCCTGGGTTTTTGAATATATTGTTAATGCCTTGGTGACTTCAGCTTGCTGGGTTGCAGAGCATTACTGTGGAGAATTCGGAAGATTTACGAATTCTTTCAGGTCACTTTGAAGTTTGTATAAATCATGTTTGATGGAACATCAAATAAGTGAGATGCAAAAATGATGGATATGTTCTGTAGTGATCTGGTGCATTGGAAATCTGATCACACAATCGTGAGAGATATATTTAGTAAATTCAATTCAATTTTTGGCTGTTAATTTCCATCAGATTGAAGACAAGATCGAGAAAGAGTTCTAAAACCCTTGGAGACACCAAAGCATAAATTAAGGAGATGTTGATGAATCGCTGCATCTACAAGGATGGTGAAATTTTAGGCCAGGTCTCGGGTGGGAATCAAATATCCTGGCGATAAGATGTGCGGGAAACAAAGATTTATTATATTGCTCAGACCAAAGTGAAAGTTCAGAATATAGCCACGTTTTAACTTGACATAAGAGATTGGCATCAATTGAGCTTGCAATCTGGAACAATGGGATGCAAGTTCATCCTGTCTTAGCCCGAATAAGGGAAAGCTAGATAGGTGGCAAAAGAATAAGAACCGATGAGATCTTTGGATGCCCCCTTGAAATTCTATCTTTCCTCTGTTTGTTGATGTGTCCAAGCCATCATGTCCAACACTATAAAATTTGAAAAGAAACCGATTCCAAGACAAATCAGAGCTCATGCTCATGCTCATGCTAATGGATGATATTATTAAAGAAATTCGGTTTCATACCAACTTTGGGAAGGATGAATAGGTTTGAGCAAAAAGCAACCTAACAAAAAGACTTTTGTTTGCTTAAACTTCAGCTATGTAATCATGATCATGCATCAGGTTATTACGGAGGCATTTGGCAACATGTCTTAATCTGACCCAATACTACCAATATAAGTCATTATTGAGAATAATTAGTATTGCAACGAAAACAACAAATAGATTAAATTAATCATTCCAGTTTGCTTTCACAAGTTTAAAGTTCGATACAACATTTTAATCATAAGGTGTGACATTGTTTCAAAGACATTTTTTACGTTTATGCTTCATATTTAATGGAAACAGTTTGATGGCGACATCAATAAGAATGACAACGTACCATAAGCGAAAAAAATTTGTCCATTCTATCACCGAATTGAAAAGCCTTAACTACCTAATTTAGAGTGAACCCCATTGTTCCAATTCATGCATACATATGCAAGGAGAATAGTTTTTTTTTTTTTTTCTTTCCCTCTTTAATCGGTGACTAAGAGTGTAATACGAATTTCTAATTCATCAATTCATAAATTTCAAAGTATAAGGAAATTATAGCTCAACTAACATTCATGACTTCTCCATCTAAGAATCCTCGAATTTGAGCTTCTAACTCTGTAATAAAAATAAAACATCTCTAATCTTAATTCTAAACAAAGCAATAGTAGTTGAAATATTATTTTATGGTACTCAGACTTTGGACTTTGGACCAGCTTGATGATGACCCTGATAATTAATGCCCAGGCCTCATTTTTGCCAAAAAAAAGTTATAAACTCATGGTGGGCTTTACACATGCTTTTGGGCCGACGCTGATGGAATGGAATGGATAATGCAATTGATGAAACATGTAACGTTTGTCGGGTTAAGGTTAAGCCTATTTAAGAAATTGGGCACAGCTGGGAATAGTTTTAGAATAGACACGATGATGTTCGAACTCCCAGCATAACTTGGACTTTGACGATCTGTATGTTAACCTAGGGGTGAAGAAGATAGAATGTAGAAATCCTAGCTTAGGCTGCTAACCTTTATTCTCTTGATGTGGTCCAACGAAACTTGGAGCTGGACTCAGACCAGGATTGGCATAAAAGGCCACGTTTAGCCCAAAGACAAACTAACCAAGCTCTTGTATATGTGCAAAGTTCAGCTGCAGTTACCTTTAGCTGGATGGAACTGACCAGCAAGTCCTTCATAATTGGTTCCTTCAAAGAATTTTTATCCGTAGTTCTAAAAAGGAGATGACTCCGATTGATGCTTTATTAATGAATTTACAGGCAACGTAATTTCAATCAGTATGGAAACGAAGTTTTGTATAACTCTTATAACGATATATATATATTTAATGATTATAAGAAAGAGGTTGGAATGTAGATTTTTTTAAGGGAATAAAATAAAATATGAGTATTATTGAGACTCACTGTCGTGAGACTCGTTTTGTAAATGATAAAAAAAAAAAAAAACTTATTGAAAAATCAATTTATTTGTTTTGATAATACCGAATTGAAATCCTCTGATGTTTCCTTTTTCTTTTTGTTGTGTTTTATAAGTTTCTTAAGCATTGTTTCCGTATTATCAATAATTAAACTTCTTACATTTTAGTTTTTTCCATTTAATTTAAATAATTAAATTCAAAACTAATGAAGAGATTTGATCTAGTGATTGATATTAACCTTAGTATTAAAAAAAAAAATGGTAATAGCATAATGTTCAAAGGCGACTCACCAAGTACTTCTCAATTCTCACTAGCTGCCTCATTAAAAAAAAAAAAAAAAGGGTCTTTATTTGGTCTAATTATTGACATTAACCCTAGGATTTCCACCACAAGCAATTAAGTTCCATTAATAGGCTTATCTTGGGCTGCATTTGTTAACTTCGTTGGGTTTTATATAGTTATTAACACTCATTAAATCACAAACTAGCTGGCCCTAAAGGTGGAAACTTTAAGTCGACAGCAAACACACCAGCAACCCCGCCGCCTGCGCCCACCGTGACGGCATGTCAGCAGCCCCCGCTTATGTGTCATACATGTGCAGTAATCAATGCCGAGACGGCCTGCGACGGTGCAACATAATGCACATTTAATTGTATTTGTACGAATAATTTTAATCATACATAATTGTTTAACATGATTTATTTAAAAAAAATATAAGTATTTGGAAGGATATTTCATACATTAAATAAGTAAGTAAATTCCGTTAATAGTTTTTATAAATAGTTAATATTACAACAATTATATATGAATATCCTAGTTTATTTTATTACGACAAATCAATGTTGCCTCTCACATGCTAGGACACAAACTCCTCACTTCCATCACAAACATTGCAACCAAATCTAGGTCTAACACTGCTTGGCGACACTTTTTTTTTTAACTCACATACCCAATATATACACAAGACTCATAACAAAATTGATCTGTTATAATTTAAATCTATCACTTTTTATAAAAAAATCACTATTGTTAGACTACAAACTATTTAATCATGACAAACCTTCCATAGCAAACCATTGGATCGATAAGTGGTGTGCTTGTGCTCCGAATCTCTACTTGTTATGTGTCTTTGTGACCATTGAGCCATAGAATTTGGTAACATACGCATAATTGATTGTTCAAATCGTTATTATAAAGATCAAAATAAAATATTTTGATAATTTGTTTTTAGAGAGTATTAAATGAGTAAATAACCTGAATATAAATATATAAGATAATTTCATAATCGACATGTAAAAATTAAATTAATAAACCGAGTCTTGACCTATTGCGATCCCTACATGTCATTCGCATTTTTTAAAATAAAATCACGAATGAATGATTGATCGATTGTTTGGCAAAAAAACAAATATCACTGGCTAGGTACTGTACCTTGTCTTCAATTAGGTAGTTTTTGGTCAAAACCTAATTGATTGATTGTTTGGCCTAGCAGAAAGGCTTGCTTGTCGGACCATCTAAATTAATTGCTATAATTATGGATATGATGTAAACCGGTAGGTTTTTCTAACACCATTCTAGATTGTTGCCAAGGATGAAGTGAGAATAGAAATTTAGAAAGATGTGTTGAAGTCGTGGTTTGGACTGATGTCATTAAAATTTGTAAGGAGTTAGACTCTAGTTCAATATTTGATTTATGACGTAAATAAGTTATTAGTATAATAATAAATGAGGTGATTTTTAATTATTTTTTTTTCAATATATAGAATTTAAATTTTAAAATTATATTTATTGAAAAAAGTTAAATACTACTACTTTAGTTTCAAATAAAATTAATCCACGAGATAAATACATATGCATGTGTATGTGTGTGTGATTTAGAGTTTTTCAATAAAAAAGTGGCATATCCGGAGAGCAATGAGTTTTTCAATGGAGAAGTGGTACATCCGGAGAGCAATAGTAAAATCTATTTTTTGAATTTGTTTATTAGCAGGAGCATGTTGTTAAACTCAAACCCCCATTAAGTATTTTTTTAAAAAATCATTTCATCTAAACCAAAAAATAATATTCAATTTTACTATTTAAGTGTGACTTTTCAAGCTTTTTCTTTGACGTGGTTATACTAGACATAAATTATTAATAGATTAAAAAAATTAGTATTTAAAATCGATCTGATGTTAGATATAATAATACATTGACATATTCTAAAATGCGAAGATTTACTTTCGATTAACACAATGTAATATAAAAATATCCTACTATAAATAAAACCGTAAATATTCAGTAG